TGGACCAAACTGTGTGCTATAAACCATGTTCCAACCCCGTCAAGCCCATGAGCCAGATTGTGCTCTCTGTGTAGGTCTGCCCATGTGGATATACTTGAGCTACTTGTGTGGACGTACTGGCTGTTGCTTCAGTATAAACCCAGTGTTACCCCAATGGAGAACTTGACCCATAGATTACAAGTAGCCTTTCAAGGTCACTCACCCCAGGGTTCTACATCAAGCAGGATCGGCCTCTCCCCTACCCATTGTGCTCGACTCCCCTCCCCTCATTAGGCAAATTGTCCTGCTCTGTGATGATCATCCTTCCCCTTAATGTTGTCCCCTCCCCCGCCAATATCCCAGCTGAATGTTACTGCTGTTAATTGAAGCCTCTCTCTCCTTCTCATTGCATTAGTGTCTGGTGTCATTTTCCCCCTCTTACATATTACCATAGATACTGTGGAGCACCAACAGCTGCTCATTAATTAAGGCTGCAACTTTGAGTTTCCATCCTGCCTTCTAGAGCTTTTCCCTCATGGTCCCCAAACAATCCTTGTGAGTCTTCTCTGGCCCAGCTCACCAGAGCCTGGGGGACCAGGGGCAAAGGATGAACCCCACCATTGTGAGAGGAACAGCACAGAGAAATGAGATGAGCAGCCCCAAGTAGCTCAGAGACCCCAGAATGTGCATGGGATAGGAACTGGGCACATTGCTTTTTAAAAAGCCTACATTTGCGGGCTAAGTCTGTGGGTATTAGCTGTATTCCAGTAGCCCCTAGAGGCCTCAATGGAGATCAGGGCTAGATTTGGGGATGGGGAAGGTTTTCCAATCCTACAAGAGCTGGAGATTTCAAAATCCACTCCCACCCCAAGTCGGGACAAAACCTAAAATCATTTGACCAAAAATGTCAAATCTTGAAATATTTTGTGAACTGATCATCAGAAACTAAACTGCATTCGGGCCATATGAAAGGTGTTTCAGTAATTTCAAAAAGATGTGTTTTGATTTTGACTTTGAAAAAATAAAGTTTTTAAAATACTTTTTAAAAAGTCTGAATTAACTAAAATTTCTAAATGAACAGTCACTTCAGACTGTACAATGAAACTCTTCATTTAGAAAATGTTTTGAAGTTGAGAGAGTCGTCCAAACTGACCCTACCCAGTGAACAGTTTTGGTTTTGATGAATCAGCACCTGCCGTGGGAGGGGCGGGGTGGCAACCAAACATGGTCAGAAAATTCCCAAATAGCTGTAATCAGGGCCTCACTGTGCTAGGCACTTTACATACACCTACTTAGAGTCCTTTTCCCCAAAAAGCTTACAATCAGGGACCATATGTTCTGTGTTTGTACAGCACCTTGCACAATGGGTTCCATGGCTCCTGGGTGCTATGGTAATAAAAACAATTAATACAATTAAGGCAATACAGACTAAAGTATTGTCATTCCCATTTTAGAGATGAATAACTGAGGCTCAGAGAGGTGAAATGATACGCCCAGGGTCACAGGAATTCAGTGGCAAAACCAGAAATTTAACCCAGATCCTCTGCAGCTCAGGCCAGTGCCTTAACCACAGAGGCACCCTTCCTCTCAGAGAAGACAGTGTCAGCCACTGAAGCCTGCCCCAGTGTTTCCTAGAGCAAGCAAACACGTGACCCCCATCTCAATTGGGAGGACTTCTGTCTATAGCAGGCACAGAGAAACAAGGCACTTGAGGGCTCGTTAACAAGCGGTGATCCATTTTAGGAGACAATTTAATGCTGCAAGAGTGCGCTGCGCAGAGAATTAGCTAGCACAGATGTCACCCAAGCCGCCTTTGCTAACGCGAATGGCGGTAATTCTTGATATCCTTACGGGACCGAAACATCCTGCAGGGATGCTGGCCTGCCTCTGACCCTGCTAATGCGTCAGGCTATGAGATGAGCTATGGAAATGTTCAACATCCAGGGAACAAATATGCCCATCTGAGCCTTGACCGGCACTTTGGAACGTTTCCCCTCTTCTCAGGAAGAGACCCCTCTCCTGCAAGTTATTCTGCTCATCGGGGTTAATAGGGCTCCATGTATTGCAGGGATCTTCCCACCCAGCAGAACGCCTTGCAGGATTGGAGCCACAGTTTGTCAATTGTTCAGTCCACCAGGTTTTTGGACTGTTCCTTCGGAACCTTTTATTGGCTGCTTTAACCTTTTCTCGGAGAAAATGATGCAAAAAAAAAGGAAAACACACTTGGACAAAAGTGGGACGAGAGGTGATGGGGAGGGGATAGCATGCAGCATCTGGAAATGGGGAGAATGGTAGAAGGGAAGCCAGGAAAATGAAGAGAACGGTTTGCCATGCCCTCAGAGCAAGCCTCAGGTGTAGCAGTTCTTGCTCATGCCGTTATGTGGGTTTTATAAGGGTTAAGGAATAAAAACGCAGCTACTAATAGGCTTAGGATGCCGCTTGGAGGGATTCGATTTTTACTGGTAAATGTGGTTCAGGTATTGATTTCACTGTATGCACAAATATTTCTATCCATGCGAATTGAAATTTACAGTTAGGCAAAGAAAGAAAGATAGGACTGAGAAGGGATTCAAGTTTCATTTAGGGTTGTTTACTTGGTGTATTTTGACCAGTGATGACGACCGCATGCGTGCTAAGGGTTAAAAAGCTGTAACTTTTCGAATCATGTCTACAGTCATTAAATAATTGTCCGCCCCCCCCTTATTGCCTGACACCCCCATAATTTCCTGCAACTGTGAAAACTTAAACTGAGAAAATTTGGGGGGGAATGCTTAAAAATTAACATTATCTGTTGAAATTATAACCCCCCACACACCAGAAATAGAATTCTGCCAAGCCTACTTATGAAGACAACGTAGGGATAGGACCCGATACAGACAAACGTGGTCTTCTCCAGGCTCCTGCTCCAAAGCCCACTGAAATCACTAGGAAGACTCGCTGACTCCAGTGAACATTGAACCCAGGCCTGCATCTGGCTTCTAGGTTCCTCTCATAAGGACAGAAAAGCCCTCACAGACAGGGATTTTCAAAAGGGAACCTAAGGGAGTTAGGTGCCTAACTTCCAATGGGATTCAGGCACCTTGGAAAACCCCCAAACGTCAGCCTCAGTCATACTTACCTCTTAGCTAGAGCTTTTGTAGCTGTAAACCTCAAAGCATTGAGCAAAGGAAGGGCAGTATAATTATCCCGGTCTTATTGTTTTCTTCACAGTGGTGCCTAGAGGCCAAATCTGAGATCAGGGCCCTTTCGTGCTGGATGCTGCACATATATAGAGTCAGGCTATGTGTACACAGACTGCGGTGTGTAGAGAACCCTGTAGCCCCCCCCCTAGCATGGGTATAAAGAACAGTGTAGACAGGGAGGCACTGCTTAGGTGAGGACAGACATCTCAACACTGGGAGCATCTACCCTACCCAGCTCTCTACACACTCAGGAAGTGCCACCCATGTCTACGCTGTTATTTTATTTTATTTTTTTTAAAGCAGCATAGCTCCCGCTGCCTCCCCCCTGCCTAAGGCTTTCACGGCAGCGTGTTGCTACACAGCACAGTGTGGACGCAGGCTGCTTTACACTGCTGTGTGTTGCCATACACTCCCTCCGTGCTGCCACGACCTGAGAGACAGAGCCCCAGCCCAAAGAACTTACAGTCTAAGTAGACAAGACAGACAAAGGGGTTAGAGGTAGAGCTGTCAAATTGTCTCCAGGGGGTTCCCTAGGGAGGTGGGGGAATCTCCTTCTTTAGAGGTTTTTAAGGTCAGGCTTGACAAAGCCCTGCCTGGGATGATTTAGTTGGGGATTGGTCCTGCTTTGAGCAGGGGGTTGGACTAGATACCTCCTGAGGTCCCTTCCAACCCTGATATACTATGAAAATGCCGGGTTGTTGAAAGCGAAGCTTTCCATTGCAATGCGTCAATTTCAATATCACTTCATTTCCAGCAGGCAGGCAGTGGGGAGAAAAGTGAAAGTGTTTAGAGAAGGATGAAACATTCTGTTTCCACCACCTCAGAATGGGATGTTTTGATTTTTTTTTAAATGACTTTACATTTTGAAATTATATTATTTTTAACCTATCAAACAAAACTGAAAAGTCAAAATCAGAGTCAGAAAAGTCAAAATCTTACAAAAATTTTGGTTTTGTAAGAAATAAAAACATTTTGATGGACCTGAAATAGTTCTTTGAAATAATTTCATTTTGTGGGCAACTTTTTGGTTTTGTTCCAGTATGGAATGAAAACAAATTTTGAAATTTCCCACAGAACAGAAATTCTGAATTTTGACCAGCATTAGAGGGAAGGGAAACTGAGGCACAGCGTGGTGAAGAGACTTGGCTCAGGTCACACAGCAGGTCAGTGGCAGAGTCAGGAATGTCTTCTGAAACCCAGCTGGGTTCTCTGTCCATTGGACCATGATGTGAAATACCAATATGACTTTTCACAGGTTATAATTCTCTCGTCTATAAATCCATTTATCTATTTAAACAAGTGTGTTCATATTGTTTCCTGGATGTAAAATGTTTTGGAAGATATTTCAAATATAAGCAGACACAGAATATTTTCAAACCTACATTAGAATATTTACATACTATATTCAGATGTAATATAGTCACACAATTCTCCCCCCTCTCCCCCACAACACACTTATCACGGATACCAACACGTTGCACACTCTGCACTAGCATGGGGGGGGGGGAATCAGCCTAATTTTGTCTTTGTTTTTGCAAAAAGTTGCAAATCCTTAATTTTATTCTAACACAAATTTATAGTGGCTACAGGAGGACAGTTTAAAACAAATCCAGATGTTTCTAAATCATTTAAAAACTGCATAATTTGTAAGGGTAGAATGATTGTCTTCTCATTCTAGTTTATTAATTTTTTTTCCCCCCACACATCAGCAGAGTTGGGTCTCATCTGCCTATTCTGAGATCATCAGAAAAAACATCAGTGAAGGAGACTGAAGGGGCTGAGATGTTATATACAGAGCCAGGCGAGGGAGGGTGCTCTCAGATCTCATCAGGAGGAGAGCAAGGAGAAAGGGGACAAGGACTTCAGACTTCGCGCTGTTATTCTGGCACGCCAGAGAGAGAAGAGTTTCCTTATTTTCCTAGTCACCATGAAAACGGTCATCCAAATCTTGTGCTTCTTCCTTTTAATAACTTTTTACAAATGTGCAGTCATCACTGGGGTAAGTCTGACTTTCTTGCCTATCTAATGTGACATCTGAACATGTCAGAGATCTTGTATTCCTTCCGAGATGTGGGTGCTACAAGATTCCCTAAGATTGGAGAAGATAATTGCATCTTCTAGCAGTGAAAATATTTATTTTCTGAAATTCAGAAAAGAATTTCCTCCTGAATGCTCAAATAAGAATACATACAGCAAAAATTTATACTGTGCTTATATCTTCAAAGCGTGTCTTTATATTAATTATAATGAAATATCATTGTGTGTGTGTATTAACAGCTCACTTTTTGGTCCCAACATATCAGTGATAAAAAATAAGCAATCCTAAACCCAAGAGAAATGCTTGCACGGTTTTAATTTTCTGTTTCTGATGGAAACTTAGTTTGAATTAAATCAACATTCCTCCAGCAGCACTTGATGCCCAGTGCATCTGAAAGTGACACTGACTATAAACAAAAGTGAAACAGACTTGATTCCCCCACCCCTACATTTCAGCAGAAAGTTCTAGAAAAAAATAGAAATAGAATAAATACGGAAAAATGGGTTATGATTTTTACATTTGTTTGGTTTCTGTAGAGGTTTATTAGTAACACAAATAATGGTTTTACTTGTACATGATTTTTTTGAGCTGTGATCACTCGTATCTAATTACATTATTTCCAAAGTGAGACAAGGCTAGCTGAAGGATAAAAAGTACTGGATTTTTGTATGAGTTAGACTAAACGCTAAATTCTTACTCACTGATCATCTTTTGTACTCTATCAGCTATGAACCCACAGAGAGAAATGTATGCAGATAAAAAGCAGGCGGGGGAATCATAAGCGCTTATTCATAACACTATAGTGCCATAAACTGGTATTTGAGTCAAAGAGGGGAGGAGAGAAATATTAAAAAGTTTTCAAGCTGAGAAAAATGTCAAGTTCTAACACAACACAAAGGTCAGGACATGTTAATAGACAGCCCCAAACTGGCCCATGAGCATTTTGGGGGCTTTGATCCTAGGAGGTACTGAGCATCCCAAACCGTCACTGACTTCACTAGATGTGAGAGGAGCACAGCACCTTCAGACAGAGGCCCTGATCTTCAGCTGGCATAAGCAGTCCTAACGCCACTGAAGTCAGCGTCGCCTATCTGCCCCAGCATCCTAATTAATGTCAGTCTCATTAATTTATACCCAGAGAAAAAAAATCCAAATTTAAAGAGAAAAGGAGAGAGGCCAAGAGTCCAAGCAATATATCCTAATTTATTTAAATAGTGTTAATTTGTGTTGGAGGTATATACATTCGGCTTTTGTGAGAGCATATTATTAAACTGCTCTTGGGTTAGAGTGAACTCTGAGCTGTTGGAGGGGCCTGGCTGAAGTCAAAGCACAGAGGAATAGTGAAATTCCTGAGCATCACTCCAAAGCCCCTTATGTTACTTTACATTTCAGAGTCCTGGCTTCCCTTGTTTTCCATTTCAGAGACATGAATTCAGAAAAGGATTAATACACGAAAAAGCAGATTCACTCTCTCATGAAAGAAAGCGAATCCTAGAATATCCCTTTCTTCTCCCTGCAAATAAAATTTGTAGTGGAGACTTCTTATGCCCAAAGAATTGTTTAAAGAAGAGAGCTTCATTTCAAAAAAGGAATGTACAAAATATAATTCACACCTGCCTTTCTGTGCAATTTCAGCCTGATCCTGGTCCCACAGCTGGGAGTTTTACCATTGACTTAAACAGGATCAGCATCAGGCTCTCCTTCTAAAAGGTTTAAAGTTTTTACACTTTACTGATCAAATCTAGCTTGTTTTAAAAATTGAAACTTTTATAGTTCCTCTCTCTCAATACACACATGTAAATACTCCAGGAGATTGCAATTCTATCCCACTGGTTTCCGTTATGAGCTCCACTATTCTTCCTTTATAAAAAAAAAAATCTAGTGGCTATTCTTAGTCTGATAAAGCCACACAGAACAAAGGCCTTTTTCACTTCATTTCATCCATTCCCAAATGGTACTCTAAAAAATGAAAAGTTAGACCTAGAATTATGACACTCCACCACCAAGTAAACTGTAAAGATTCTCCAAAGCAGCAAAAAAACTCCCACTGATTTCAGTGGGACCACTTGTGAAATAAACGACCAGGCACCTTGAGGGAGGGGATCTGATTCTAGCCACACATGTAATTTCAGCAGCTGAGAAGCTAAAACCTGCCGCCCTGTCTCAGGCAAATCTCCCACTGACTGGTATCAGCTTGCTCGGTATTAGCCAAATGTCTCAAACATGGAGCATTTTGGAGCAAGTGGAGCATTTTGTCACGCTGCATTGTACAGTAGCTTGGTGATTTTGGATACAGGAAACAAATGCTAGGTAGGGATCCACTTGTGTCTTTGATTTGAAAAGTGCCCCTACTTTCCAAAGTTCAAATCTGTGCAGATTGTCAAAAAAAAATAGCTTGCTTTAGCTCTAAGCGTTTCCTAGAATATAGCTCTAAGCTCTAAGCGTTTCCTAGAATATTTGAGCCTAGAACCATGACCTTCTGGTACACGTTCCCGGTTCCAAGCTTTCATTCTCTAGAATCTGGGAGCCAAAAACTGAAAGATTTGGGGCCAGATCCTCAGCTGGTGTAAATCAGCATGGCTGTTAGTTTCAGTGGGAGCAACAGTGATTTCCGCCAGGGTCCTGATCCCTGACTGTAATGCAAACGAATAAGTGACTATTTTATTATGTAGCCATTGGTTTAATGCTGAACTCAGCATGGCTGGCTTCCCTAGCTCACCTCGTGCATCACCTGTCAGCCTCAGGAGCACAAAGACCTTTCCTCCCTGTTGGCATCTGAGTCCTGAACATGTCAGAAGAGCTTGTGTAAAGCCCTTCTAGCCAGAATTGGATTCTCACTCTCACCACAAGCCCTCATCAACTTAACGTGAGATATGTGGCTTTTAAAGAGTCTCTTGTTCCGATTAAGAATAGATGCTTGTCTTTGAAGCACTTGCCAGTGCAGCTTGACTTATTTACCTGTCGCCCTGGAGCAGACATTTCCCCTGCTCACAGTAAAGCTGATCTGAATGCACCTCCGGCTAATTGGTGTTTGTTTTGCCTCCCCGTTAGGCTTGCGAGAGGGATCTGCAGTGTGGAGCCGGGACATGCTGTGCCATCAGCCTGTGGCTTCGAGGACTCAGGATGTGCACTCCGCTGGGACAGGAAGGAGATGAATGCCACCCATTCAGTCACAAGGTATGCCCTTAACCCTTTCACAGCCTCGTCTAAGCAATGGCCCAGGGGCTGATCTTTTTCAATACTGCTGCAGCTATATTTTCTAGAGCAACTCTTTGTTGGGAGGGATGAGTTCAAAGGTAGTATTTTTTTTTTAAAATGGCACATCACATTAGTCTAGGCAGTGCTATAACCCTGCTAACCAGATCCTGTAAGGTATGTTCATGGCATACACAGAGAATTCTCTTGCGGGAAGGTTGCAACGTCACATTACCTTATTTCTCAAAATTCAGATTGATAAACATAGAAGAACCCAGAACAGAGAGAGAGAAAACAGGCTGCTCCCTAAAACAGAGGCACAACTCATCCCATCTTATTCTAGACTGGCTCTCTGCAGACTTCCAATTGCAGACTTCCCTACAGACCCCCCGCCCCCAGCCTACTAGCAAGACAAGGAAACCCCTTAGGATTTAAAGTGACAGCTTGTAATTTTTACAGTTTAACATATCACACTGTAATCTGAAGGACTTTCAGGGATCAGGGTGCACGATGCCATCCATCTGTGGATGTATACTCCAGTGGGGCAGGCACTGGTCTGGGACTCAAGCAGTCTGGGCTCTGCTCTCAAATGGAGAGAATCCCTGCATGACATGTGGTGCCTAATCTGTGCCTCAGTTTCCCCCTATCTGCACCAGCACACAGAGGCTTATCCAAACATGCAGAGCTGAAAAGAGAATCCAGGAGTCCTAACACCCAGCTTCCCCTATCATGACCACTCACGCTTCCAGCCAGATCCTCAAACAGCACTCTACTAACATCAACCTGTCAAAGCTTCTACAGGTCACTGCTGGCCTATGGCCAGCGCTGTACAAGCCTGTTTAACAGCTCAAGTCATGCTGTGCACGTGGCTCCAGGGGGCTCAATCTGTGCTTTCAGTTTATTTAAAGAAAGGTGCTTTTGTCACTTGAGATTTAATTCTAAATACTCAACAAAGCAAACCAGAAGCCAGGATAACGTCCGTGAACCTTCAGAACTCTGTGGCTTTGTCCAGCACGCAACACAAAAGCTTTAGCATTACCCCAAAGTGGAAGTACTTAGCACCAGTCGCTAAGGCCTTTGAGGGACTCTGCTAATAACTCCTCAGACATTGATCTCTTAGGAGGGAGACTCAGTAAATAATGCAGGGCTTTCTGCCCAGGATCAGCCTGCAGGAGATGGAGAAAGATTCAGAAGGGAATCAGACTTTATTAAAATCACCGCCAAGGGGAAATAAAGATACATTCTCGAGGCTTAAATTTCATAAGGGATTGTTTTGAAAAGACAGGAGATAAATGTCTGTCACCTCACCTTCCCATTTAATACCAGAAAGGAGGGAGAGAAGATGGGGGATGAGAAGGACAAATGGAGGAGAGGCGAAGGAGGAAGTTGAAGACATTGGGAAATCCAGGCCCTTTCCACCCTGGCTGTTCCAATGGTGAATCTCATGGTGTCCCCTAATTTTCAGCAAAAACAGGTAACAGCTAAACGATGGCTGCTCATAGCCAAAGGATAGTTTATCCCAATAATTTGTCCTGCTCAGCTCCTTTCATTATTGAGGACCTCCATGTGCTGTATAAGTCTCCCTCTGAGGGAGGCATTATCCTCGTGTTAAAGCTAGGGGAAACTGAGGCACAGAGGTCTAGATTCTGCAACCTTTATTCAATGAGACCACTCCTGTAATGGCTGCATAATCAGAGGCTCCAGGCCAGTATCGCCAAGGACACAGCTGGGGCCAGCATGATGAGCTGTTGCAGAAATCTGTCCATTTATTCTACCGCCCAAATGGATGCCACGTTCTTTTGAATGTCTAGCCCTAAGTGGCTAGCCCAGGATCAGAGAGATGAGATGGGCAAGGCGATAGCTTTTATTGGACCAACTTCTGGGGCGGGGCGGGGGGGAAACAAGTTTAGCAACTGTGGCTCAAAAGCGTGTCTCTCTCACCAATTAGAGATATTAGCTCACCCATCTCATCTCTCTGATGTCCTGAGACCAACACAGCTACAATCCTGCATAGCCTAGACTCATGCAGCCCCTGCTGGAGTTAGGAATAGAATCAAGGGGTGAAATCCCAATACCCCCAACCAAATCAACAGCAAAACCCCAGTTCACTTAAATGGGGCCAGGATTTCACACTGAATTTGCAAACCCCCCAGCCACTACTCTCTAGTGTGTGCTACATCCACCAGGAGATGGAGCAAGGACTCAGCAGTTCACATGGCAGGTGAAGGGTTAGAAGCAAATTTGAACCACCCTGGGGAAAGCAGAGAGCTTGCCCGAGATTATATGTTACAGAAAGAGACAAGGGGTTCCCAGGGCTCTCTAAATACATCAGGGGATAAACATCCAGGAGGGAGAAGAACCATTGAGGCTAACGGACACCGTTGGTACAAGAACAACGGAGGATAAACTGTCCAGGAATAAACGGAGGCTGGAAATTAGAAGCAGGTTTCTAACCAGCAGAGATTCTGGAATAGCCTCGCAGTAAAAGTAGTGGGGGGTCAAACAACCTAAGTGATTTGAAGGTGGAGTTTGGTCAGTAGATGAATGGGATTCTGATAGGGTTGCCTGTGACAGCAGGGACAGGATTTCATAATGCGGCAGGCCTATGTCCCTATGGATTCTCTAGTGTCTAGAGGCAAGGAGACAATCAGTATTCCCTTCACCCCCAGAGATCCGGTGCAATTAGTCCCCCATTCACAAACACCCACACAACAGCACATCTTACTCCAAAACTTCTCCTCCCACTACACTTCACAGGACCTGATCTTGCTCTCACGCATGTCAGCAATCAGGACCGGCTCCAGCGGAATTGGAGAGGTGAGAGGAGAATCAGGAGCACCATGCATCACAGTTGAGTTAACTCTCATGGGGGAGCGATAGCTCAGTGGTTTGAGCATTGGCCTGCTAAACCCAGGGTTGTGAGTTCAATCCTTGAGGGGGCCATTTAGGGATCTGGGGCAAAAATTGGGGATTGGTCCTGCTTTGAGCAGGGGGTGGGACTAGATGACCTCCTGAGGTCCCTTCCACCCCTGCTATTCTCTGATTCTAGGATACTCATTGTGGGCAGGTCCCAATGCAGGCAGAATGGCCGACTTTAATGGAACTTCCCCAGCTCACACCAGCTGAGGGTCTGGTTCTCCGATCCCTGTGAGAACAGGGAGCAAGTTGAAGCTAGACAATTCGGTCTGGAAATAAGGCATTCATTTTTAACAGGGGAGGGTCATTAACCACCGAAACCATCTACCGAGGGTCACGGGGGTTCTCCATCACGGACCATTCTTAAATCACGATGGGTGTTTTCCTACCAGATCTGCTCCAGGAATTATTGGGATGCAGTTCTCTGGCCGAGGTGAGACAGGGGGTCAGACTAGAGTCTTGCCCCGGGAATCTCTAAATCTATGAAAAGTGAACTAAGGGAGCCGGTGAAGTGAGCGGTAGCTCACGAAAGCTTATGCTCAGATCAATGTGTTAGTCTCTAAAGGTGCCCCAAGTCCTCCTGTTCTTTTTGCGGATACAGACTAACACGGCTGCTACTCTGAAACCTAAGAGCAGAATGAGACAAAAACAGGAGGGGGGGCCTGCTGCAGACCCCAGCACCTCTGAAAGTCAAGCTGTTCTTATGTCACTGCCCACTGGGATTGTCAAAGGAGCCAAAGTGACTTTCAAGGGAAATTGGGTGCCTTAGCCCCTCCATCCCCACTTTAAAGGCCTAACTTCATGCACCCCAGTGTAAAAGTGGGGGAGGTTTAGATTGGATATTAGGAAAAACTTTCACTAAGAGGGTGGTGAAACACTGGAATGCGTTACCTAGGGAGGTGGTAGAATCTCCTTCCTTAGAGGTTTTTAAGGTCAGGCTTGACAAAGCCCTGGCTGGGATGATTTAACTGGGAATTGGTCCTGCTTCGAGCAGGGGGTTGGACTAGATGACCTTCTGAGGTCCCTTCCAACCCTGATATTCTATGATTCTATGAAAAATGCTGGTTCCTAGTTTCAAGGGAAAGAGGCAGCATTGTCCAATAGTGAAAGCAGTGGGCTCTGATGCAGGACCCTTGGGTTCTGTTCCCAGCTCAGCTCAGAACTCGACCTGCAATGCACTGCAAGGCACCGACTGAAGCTCCACTTGTCTACAGAGCACGGGGAGCGTACACGGCTCTGTTCAAAACACGTACAGCGACAAGACCCCTATCCCTAAGGGGTGACAGCCTAACAGATGCATGCGAGATGTGAGAGGACAGCCCTAGCGGCAGACAGCAGGGAAGTGCTGGGCAGGGGGATCATGCTGGGAGGCCTGTGAATCTAGCATGTTTTAAGGGAGGATCCGAAGGAGAACTGTATTTATCCACCTGTACCATCAAGACACCTGACAGCACACGACCCCTCAATAGCCGCCTGATGAGGCTCACACTAGTTCCTCACCTGCCCTGACCCAGCCAATGGGAGTTGCACCTGCGGGCAGGGCAGCACATGCACCCCCCGGCCTCCCCTCAGGCTAGGAGCCGGACATGGCGGCTGCTTCCCGACCTGGGAGCCATGCGGCGTGGCATGGCGGCTAACAGGGAGCTGCCAGCCCTGCTGTGTAGCATGGCAGCACCACCAACTGGACAGTCAACAGCCCAGGCGGCGGTGCTGACCGGAACCGCCACGATCCCTTTTTGACTGGGTGTTCCGGTCCAAAACCGGACATCTGATCACCCTACTCCCTGGAGTTGCCAGGCTAAATTCACTCATGACTGTAAGGAGTTCTGAGTTGAAAGCCTCAGCTGGCTGTGGTCCAAATGAGCTCCAAGAGGATACCCGAGTCAGGACCAAGCACCCAGTCCTGCAACCCTTTACTCTTGCTAGGAATCCCGTGGTCAGCAAGGGGACCCGTGCTGCCCATCAGAGCTACAGGATTAGGCCTTGATTTGCAGTGTTGCTCACTTTGACCATTTTATTGTCAGTCTGGTCGCAGCGGGTGTTTTCTCACAAGGCCCCAGCTCTTGGAGTTATGCCATTATGGGAGAACCTCAACTTCCATTTTAAAATTAGGCAGTTGCTAACCCCCATGGTTAGAGAGAAAAGCTGGTTAAACAAGACCTGGGCACCCCCGAAAGCTCAGACACTAGGAGGCTAATTAAATAAGCCAATACTTTTTAAAAAGGCCTGTGATTTGTCAAGTCAAGTCCTTGAGTTTTGTGGGCTTGAGTCCTGAGTTTTGAGCACTTGGCGTTGACAATACTGTGCCTGACCAGTCCTATTGAAGCCGGTGGGGATTACTCACATGGCCAAAGTTATCCATTAGCTTAAGTGCTTTGCTGGATTGGGGCCAGAGTAAAGAACTTCAGGATTTGGCCCATTGTCACTGGACATGAAACACCTACAGGAAGACAGGGAGGAGTCTGTTTCACCCAGCCAAGGATTTTCCTAGCATTGCTCTGTGGTTGAAGTTCTGACATTCTTTGCGGTGTCTTTTGTCTCTTCCATTTTTTGCTGAAGGTCCCTTTCCTTGGAAAACGCCAACACCACACCTGCCCGTGTTTGCCAAACTTTATATGCTCCAGGTTCATTGATGGCAGATTCCGGTGTTCAGTAGACTTCAAGAACATAGACTTTTAGCAAACAGGATGGAGCTTCAGAGCCCTTCCCAGCTGGAGGACCGGGCAGCACTGCTCTCTGAAATGAGCACCACCCAACACCTTTTTTAATTTCTCTTCACCACCACCAAGTATTCTACAGTGAGTGTAAAGACAAAACACAGGTAGAGGGAGATTTTCAAAGGCACAAATAACATTGAGCACTGATTAAGCACAGCCTTCAGTAGATCTCAAAATGCATTACTAAAGAGGTTAGGATCATTATCCCCATTTTATAGCTGAGAAAACTGAGGCACAAGTAGGCAAAGTGACTTACCCATGGTCACTCAGCAGACCAGTGGCAGAGACAGGAATAGCACCTTGGTCTTCTGAGGCCACATCCAGTGCTTTGTTCACTAGCGTGTGTGCACTCACCTAACTCCCATTGACTTTCAATGAGCTGGGTGCCTAACTGCCCTTTGAAAATCTCCAACATCTTCTGAAAATGTCATTCTGCATGTAAAAAGAAGTGGGGGATGCTGTCAACAATACTTCAGACCCAACATTTATTTTATATAACGGAACGAAGGGGTTTTACTAGAAAGAAAGGTTTTCAGGATTAAAAAACCCTCACTCATATGGTTAAGTGCTTACTCACCCAAATAACCCCTGTGCTGTTATTCTTAGTAAGGCATGGAGCTTATGCTTAACAGTTATGGGATGCTTGAATAAAAAGAATATAAGACCAGAGGCAGGCTGCAGCTTATGGCATCCACTGTCTGATCTGCTCCATGCCATCTACACCAGAGCGCCACCTTGCAAAAGGAGGAGGAACTTTGGCCTCTGTAGTCAAACCCCACATCCCTGCACACCAACAGCAGCTGCTCCACGCAGTCCTGTTGTATCCAGTGGGTCTACTCTGGGAGTAAGTACTGATCAGGGTTTTACAATCAGACTAGTGCAGGGGAATAGGAACTGAAAATAAACAGCAGGTGAAATTAACCAGCCGAGTTTCATTAACCAACCACAGTGAAATGCTAAGCTGAACAGCAGCTCTGTGGAGCTCAAAAACTTGTCTCTGTCGCCAAGCAGAAGTTGGTCCAATAAAAGATTACCGTGTGTGTGAGATCCTGGGACCCACACAGCTACTCCAACATTGCAAACTAAATAGTGTACATTCTCCTCCCCCCCCCCGCCCCATTTCATTTTTGAAAGTCTCAGCTGGTCAGAGAAACTTTCATAGAACCATATTTTGAGAGAACATACAGGTCCATCAAATCAAAATGCTTTGCGAAATTTGGTTGTTTGCAGTGGAATCTCCTTTTAGAAGGGAATTGGAAAAAAGCTCCAACATTATCAAAATGGGAAAGACATTTTCAGAATAAAATCTTTTGATTTTTTGTTTTGTGGTGACTTGTCATTAAATTTTATTATATTAAAATATAATAAAGAATCAAAATTAAACAACTGTGTCAATTTATTGTTTAAAATCAACCTGAAATGATTGTGTCATGAGAATTTCAATATGGTGGGTTTTTACTCTGATTTAGAACAAAGCTAAACATTGAAGTCTCAGAATCCTGCACAAAACAGAACTTCCATCCTCTGCACAGCTGTTAATCCAAGCTGTAATGATTAACAGTTAGGTTTTTAAGGATAGGACCAGATGCTAGCATCCACACACATGTTGTGTAGTAGCATACTCCACAAGCAGTCCTATTCGTTCTTCATGGGATTGTTTGCAGAATCAGCTACTACTCAACATGGGTAATAGTGGAGAGACAGACTTTAAGACCAGAATGGACAATCGTGATCGTCTAGTCTGACCTCCTGCACACTGCAGGCCACAAAACCTCACCCACCAGTGCTGCCAGAGACCCCTATCCTCTGGCTGAGTTACTGAAGTCCTCAAATCGTGGTTTAAAGACTCCAAGTTACAGAGAATCCACCATTGACACTAGTTTAAACCAGCCCAACCCGTTTTTTATACTGTGTGTCCCTTTAATTATTGAACGGTTTGATTTCCCTTTAGGTGCTCACCCAGATACAACCTTTTATCGTAAATGTTTCAGTTAAGTCTAGCATTTATTCACTAGGAGCTTGAACCAAAGTCCATTCAGGTCAGTTGCAGTATCTCCATTGACTTCAGTAGGTTTTGAATCAGTCCTTAGGGAAAGTATGTAATACAAAAAGGAAAGGTTTAGTTATTCACACCCTACTCAGCATCTGCGTAAGCTTCAGATATCCTATCATTACGATATCACAGGCTGGTCTTTACATTTAGGTCTGTCGAGCTCACTCCAAAAATATACTAAATACAATTAAATATTGTTCACTAATATATGTAGTACGTTACCTTCAGGAAATTTTATCAGTTCAGAGGCCTGTATGCACTTGCCCTTTTTACAGGCCTGTTTAAGATCCTTCTGTGTCATTTGACCTTGATTTCTGGTTTAATTTTAGCAGCTATTGCAAAATGGAGGTTTGTTTCCAAGAAGATAGAAGCAATGCAAAAAACTTTTTTGGAATGGATTCAAAAACCCTGTTCACTGGGAAAATAACATTCTGCTTGTAATATGTACGTGGGAAACCTGTGTGTTTGACTGTATTATGATAAACATACAATGGTAAAACTGTGTTTTGAGGTCTCAATTTTTATGCCATCTAGTTCAGCACTAGACCATTCATTTGTATTACGGTAGCACCCATAGGGCTGCAACTGCTGTTAGGACCCTGTTATTCTTTACAACTATAGAAAGAAAGACAGTCCTTGCTCAGAGTTTACAATCTAACTAGACAAGGCAGGCAAAGGGTGAGAGAAAGGCTGTATCTGTCTCTTTCCACTTAATTTTATCTGGAACATCAGATGAGATATTGAGTTTGCAGAGTCTTATTGACTAGGATACATCATCTTTAGTGTTATAATAGGTGAGCGGGCTGATGTGATACTTATCTGGCACTTTTCTGGGGACATGCCATGTGGATCCTAGTTCATTGTTGGAACCAAATAAAATAAGCGTTAGTGGAACGATTCTCTGTATGTACTAAAGAACTAAAGGGCTTGGCTTGAGCTAAAGGAGTAAGACCATTAGATTGTTGCAGAAGTAGGTTGTTACCCTATGATGGACCAGCTGCTAGAGCAGAACGTGACAACACATACCCTGCTAGTGAGTTTCTCATTTTGTTTTGCACACCAAGATACACTTTCAGAGCCAGATTCTCTGCTGGTGTAAATGGAAGCAACTCCATTAAATTCAAGGGACCGCTATCCACTTACCCCTGTAGAATTTTGCATTCAGTCGGAATGACTGTTTTAAAACTAAAGAAAACAGCAACAAGAATGAACAGAAGTAAAGTTTGGGGTGGGAGAGAGAGAGAGAGAGAGAGCACGGTGCGTGACCCCCCTCTAACAAGCTGCAGTAATGCTGAGAACAAAATGGGCACTGTCGCAGCACATAGGTGGAGTTCTTTGATATTCTAAAAAGTGCACTGTGCAGAAAAAGGAGTAATACAGTTTCACAATGACATACACCCCCATAAGGGATTATGGTTTTTAAAGTCACTGTGACGGGGTTAGGACTCACCACCACTGGCACCTCCTGCTGGTTGCTCTGGGAATTAGCTCTGTCCAGTCACAGAGCACCTTTTTCGCATGGTGCCTTGCCCTTCGTCTGCTCTGCTGCTTCAGGGATCCTTGTTGCTCCCCGCTCAGCAGCATCCTCTTCAGGACACTGCCCTCCGGCAGTACCCACTGCTCCAGTCTCACCCCCTTCCGGGGTCTGGTGTTATCGGCAGTACACGATCTGCACCTTGTTGGAGTGGCTTGCTGCAGCCTCTAAGTCTAGCCCCTTATCACTGGGACCAGCCACAGCCTGGATGGGGCCACGCTCCTCTTCAGCCTGGTGTAGCACAAGGGGAAGGGGGGGGGGACCCAGGCCCACCTGCTACTCTGGGTCCCAACCCAGGGACCCTCTAGTGGCAGCCTCCCTGCCCTCCTTCTCTCCCCTTTCCTGCTATTGTCCCTGGGCCACTTCCCCTTCAGTCCTATGCACCTGCCTGGCCTAGGCTGGCAGCCTGGGTTTTCCTTGGCCAGAGCTCCCCAGCTCTGCTCTGCCCAAGGTGCTACCTTTCCACAAAGGAGCCTGTCCTCCTCCCTTGCCAGTCAGGGAGAGACTGCCTGCTCCCTCCCTGGGCAGCCTTTATATATGGCTGAGCCTGGCTCAGATTGGCTGTCTCTCACTCAGCCTCTGATGGGCTCCTTAGCAGGCCTTCTCTGATTGGCCGCCCATGTGCACCGCCTCCCTGGCCTGCTGAAGCCCCACCTAGTAAAGGAGTGGGGCAGCCACCCCACTACAGTTACCCTAAGGGCTTAAATGAGACTAGGATCGTACCTAGGTCTCATGCCATCTGCACTGGGGTGAATTTCACTAGACATGAGGACTGGTTGTAAAACTGAGGGTTTTTAATTCCCCTGCCAGAAATTTCAAACAATACATTTGTTCAGGTTTTATTATTTTGTTTCTCCCCCATCCCCACACACGCTTGTCACAGGACGTTTGAAAAGTTTGGTTTTTGTTTCTTTTCAATTCTAATAAAAATTGTTGTTCCATTTCCGTTCTGGAAAAATATCAAGCCGAAAAGTGCACCTCAACCCTGAAAACATGGTTGCAGTTAAACATTTCCCATTGAAAAAAAAAATAAAATGTAGCCTGGAAGTGACATTTTCCTGTAAAACCCTGTTTTTCGGTCAAAATGTGGACAAGCTCTACTCGACATGCAAGCAGACATACCCGTCATCCTGAGTCACTTATCTTACTCCAGACGTTTTCCTTTATCGAACACATGCTTGTTTCTGTTGCCACCTCGTGGAGGGAGCATTTTATTCTTCAACCGTATTGAAGCGAAGACCCTGGAGAAGGTGGAATTATCCAGAAAGCTAATCTATGCATAGGTGCTGGAACTAGGGGGCTGCCACACCCCCTGGCTTCAAGTGGTTTCCATCATATACAGGGTTTATGGTTTGGGTCAATGGCTCTCAGCCCGCCCCCCCCCCCATAAAAACTGTTCTGGCACCCCTGAATCTATGGCATTTTTATGAGCATCTCTGTATTATGAAAACCAACTAAAGTAGCAATGTTATAGCATTTAGACACCCAACATAGAGGAGACTGAATTACACAAACCCTTAAATAGATGGACACATGAATATGCTAGTCGCAGATTTACATTAGGACTGGAAAGGACCCAGAATACGGCATTTTCTAGACCATCTCCAATAGATACCCATCAAGCAGAAACTTAGAGGTCACTAGCAATTTTGGTTCCACCATCTTTTTCAGAAAGGTGCGCTACTAAACATTGTATTCAGAGAAACTGATTGTAATGACAATACAGAAGATAAGGAGCTAACTAACAATAGTGTTATATACACCCACCTATAGGCCAGAATCCTTGGTATAATTCAGTCCTAAGCCTTTAAAACATGTAAGACAGCAGATGCTGTCTGTTTCACACATAGGAGATGTAGGTTGAGTCACTATAACTGCTAACTAGTTAGATTTAATGACATACTCTTCCTAAGTTGTGAAGTAACTTCCTCTTTTACCTTTGTCTTCAATTTTACAAGCTTTAAACTTATCATTTGTAACAGAGATACTGCATCAAATAGTATGGCTTGATCTACTGCAGGGGTTCTCAAACTGGGGGTCGGGATCCCTCAGGGGGGTCATGAGGTTATTACATGGGTGGTCATGAGCCGTCAGCCTCCACCCCAGACCCTGCTTTGCCTCCAGCATTTATAAGGGTGTTAAATATATTTAAAAGGTGTTTTTAATTTATAAGGAGGGGGGTCACACTCAGAGGCTTGCTATGTGCAAAACGTGCAAAGATCATCTAAAGAGAGCAGGAGATAAAATTGTCTTGCCCTTCATTTCCTTTACTTTTATTAAAAAATGCCCCAAACATTTCATTGGGCCTACTTTTTTAAAAAATAAACTTTGCTGATTAGCTGAAAATTCCAAACCGTTTTGGTTCAACCCAAACAGATTCCCACCCTCACCCCCCCTGTTTTTCAGGGCTGCCAGTGAATCGAAAAATCAGTTATTTGCCCAGCTCTAGTCAGGACCTAAACCTGGACAGTTTTGAAGATAAAAATCAACACCATGAAATGCACCCAGAAATGAATGTAAAGCTGGGGGAGAATTAGTGTAATATGCTCCCCACACAGTGGTCCACTGAATGGGGAGAGACATGTTCTGCAGTAGCTGTAGCCTCTGGATGGTCTTCAGAAGTAAGTGCTATAAATAAACAAGAACCTAATAAATAAGTGCTTCTGAATTCTACGGTGATGCTCCCAAACACTGCAGCTTCTGACAGGGTAAGGACATGTAGGACACAAAGTAGTAACCCTGTCTGGGGCTCGGACAGTGGATAAATTATGGCAAGGCCTGGATCAGAGAGAAATACTGAACCAAACGCAGATGGAAAGAGGTGCTTTATCACCCCCAAGTGATGCTACCTGAGACTGCAGGAGGAATCAGGGATCCAGACCCATCTATAGCCTGTGGTGAAGATAGGGAGAGGTAAGTCCCCAGCTGTACCATACTCTCTAGATGTTTCAGCTGATCTATCAGCATCATCTTCATTTTGTTCAGCCTTAGATTTAGCCAGATTTCTATCAGCAATTCCCCCAAGCTCACCCAGGCCCTGGGATACCTGAGAAATCACACTATCTTTACAACATGAGGGGGACACGTAGAATCTGGTTGGAGCTCCGAAGAGAAAACCCAAGGGATGGATGAGCAATTACGCACATCCATCCTTTGTGTGAAAAAAGAACAAACAATGAAGCAAGAACCCATGTTCTCCTGCCAGGGAAATCAATAGAACTTCATCATCATCAAGGGTATCAAAGGCTGCTATCTAGAGGTTAATTGCATTGTTTATTGACATGCCAAGCTCAGTTCTTCTGCACTTATGTGTCACTTGCTATTTAATGTTCTCTTTGTGTCTTTGCAAACCCAGGTTGCTTCCGATATACCAGAAAAGTTTTCCCTCTTTGAAAGTCATCAAATGCATGCCTGGGATTGAAGTGGAAAGCTCCACATCTCATTATAAATTGATGTTCTAGTTATTAATATTTGATGCAAAAAATTGTGCATGTAATATCTATATAAAAAAATCCAGCCTCAAACCACCAAGTAAATTAGCCTCCGCATTTTATCATGAGTGCATTTGCTTCACTTCATGCACTGCAAGAATTGGTGAACCCAGAAACAGTAAAAACCAGTTAGCAAAAGAGAAATCCACCTGGTCTTGCTTTAGTTCATTCTGGGCCCAAACCTGGTTGAATTTGGTGGAGGGCTGACAGGATCAGGCCCTCAGACTCAGGTTGTATCTACTCTGCAGACAGAAGCGAGACCGTAAAACTCGCCTGTGTTAAATAGTCCTGTGATGCTCGTAAACCTTCCCAAGCTTCATAATGGCCACATCTCCCCACTAGAGAAGCTACATTCAATCCCTGAACAATATATAAACTTTGCATTTATAATTCAGTGGACTCCAAAACTATTTAAACTCAATTCAGTAACATCTCCCAAAGATATTGCAGGAAATTGCCATATCTGTCACAATGAATCTGTTACAGGCCTAGCTGCAGAATCTTGCTTCTTTAATTCAAGCTGTAGCCGCTAATGCTTTTAGCTCTGGAGGTGCCAGGTTCAATCCCAGCTGCGCTGGCCAAGGTGGCAGCCATCAGATAAATGGGGGACTGTCTGGGCTTCGAGTCACTGTGCATCTCAGATGAGCTTCCTTTAGTAGCCTTATTAAATTACTGTATGTGTGAATGTCCCATGGCAGAACCTGCCCCACAAAATGCATACAATATTGAGCTAAGGTCCAAACCCTGAGCCACTTGCTCAGACCTTTAGATTACTCACTCCTGGAACGAGAGTACAAAAACCACAAGGCTAGGGGCCTAGCCTCTATTCACTAGTTCCACTCTAGCCCCTCTTTACTCCAGAGAATGATTTTCAAACCTGGCGTGACTGACCCATTGCTTAAGCATCCCCCATTGACATCAGTGGAGTGACACCCACTTTTATAATAGTCCGCGCCCATGGAAAGGATCTCAGGGCTGGTCTGCATGGTAAAGTTATACCGGTAGACGCTAATATGCAAATTTAAAGTGATGCAGTAATATCAGTGTAACCTTCTGTGTACACACACTTATTCCAGGAGGTGTCTTTTTTCAGTTTAGTTTGTTAGTTGGTTCCGTTTATACCAGAATCAGATAGGGGATTATGTCAACATAACTATACCAGTATAATTCTACTGGTAAAACTCTCCCATGTAGACAAGGCCTCATTCTCTCTCAAATTCTATAAGCTTTACAACAGTCTCTATAGAGCCCTGTTACTTATCGCCATTCAAGTCACTGGGTAGGACACACACGGCCAGATTCTCAACTTGTGTAAGTTGTTGTAACTCAGTTAAAGTCAATGGAGCTAGGACCAGCTGGGGATCTGGCAATGGCACCTGTTCCAAAGCCACTGAAAGACTCCCATTCGCTTCAACGGACTTTGGATCAGATTTGTATCGGTGCCTTTAGACAGGTCCAGCTCCTGAAGTCCGTGCTGGGTCAGATCTCTCAGTGCAGTCAGCGGGAGCCGGCATGAGTAAGGGCAGAACATACAGTGAGCGAAAGGCTGAGGATCTGAGCCCGAGAACATGTGTTTGTGTTCCATTATCAGGGTTTAATTCTTAGGAAAAAGTTCTAAAGCACCACCTGTATCGTTAAGATTTGAATCATTTCAAACTCAAGCACGCCCTTTGTTTTGGCAATTGCTCAGCATCACAGCAAATGGCCTGGCGATTGCCGGCTGCCAGGCGATTGCGGATACGGGCACTTTCCTCTGGGCTGTGCCAACACCTGCCATCAGCAGCATACAGAATGCCACAGGGGCCATGCCGGGCCAGATCCCTTCTTAAAAGCTTTGTCACGGCATCTATGTACTGCCCTGCAAAGGGGTAGGGTCCCTTCCCCATTCTCAGCAGGGCACGCCGACCCTGACTAAGCCTAGGCCTTGACTCCCTGCTAACTCCAAACCAGTAATGCAGCTTATACGTTAGCCCAAGCTTGGTTATTCCTAGCGTTTCCCTGCCAGACCGCCTCTGTCCTAGCTCCCTGGTTCCTGCTGGTCCAAAGAGCCACTTCCACTCCCCTTTGTAGCCTGACTGGAGTGAATGGGGCCTGCCTGCCAGTGTGACGCAGTAGTAATTACTCTACATTTAAACACAGGGTTTTAGTGTCTGAGTTTAGCCGCTCAGCGGAAGAGTCCAGCATTTCTAAACTGGGCTGTCATGGGGCTCACTCACCGCTAGGGCACCTCCTCCTGGCTGCTCTGGGGATTGGCTCCATCCAGGTCTGATGCTCCGTTCCTTTGTTTGCTCTGGCCACAGTTGCACACACTCTCTAGGAGTCAGCAAGCTCCCTCTTTCCTTCTTCATGGCTTGGCCCTCCAGCCAGTCACTACTTCTTTTCCTCTGCTGTGGGTAGCAAAGTCTCTCCTGGAAATCCTCTAACCTAAGACTATGCCACTTTCCCCATGGCAGGTAGGGGAACACAGGCCTGCCCACTGCCCCGGGCTCCAGCACAAGGATTCTCTATCCAGCAAGCAGAGTCTGCTTCTCCCAGACCTCATCACGCCTTCCCTGCTCGGTGTTCTAGCCAGACTCAAACTCCCAGAGATTAACTACAGGCTACTTCTCCTACAGCCCTTTCTAGGCTCAGCTTCTAGCTTTGTCCCAGGCAGCCTACAGCTGCTCAGCTGAACTTCATCTGTCCTTAGGCCTGCCAGCCTAATTCTCCCCTGGGTGCAGCCTACTAAGTTAATTAGCCCCTTCCAAGCTATCTTAACCCCTTCAGGTGAAATGTGGCATGAACACTCCATCACAAGGGTAAGTCTACACTGCAATACAAAACCATTGCACCAAGTCTCAGAGCCTGGGCAGCTGCCACGGGCTTGTGGAGTTCAGCCTGTGGGGCTAAAAACTGCAGTGTAGACATTCAGGCTCGGGCCGGAGCCCAGGCTCTGAGACCCTCCCCTCTGGCGGGGTCTCAGAGCCCAGGCTTCAGCTCGAGTCCAAATGTCTATACTGCAATTTTATAGCCCTGCAGCCCAAGCCCTTCAAGCCCAAGTCAGCTGGCTCAGGTCAGCCACAGCTGTGCCACGCGGGTCTATTATCACTGTGTAGACTTAGAGTCTGCCAGCCTGGGAGCGTCTATGAGCCCTGTTCCTTTTGTTCTCAGAGCTCCTGCTGTCTGTTACTCCTCCTGTGCTCCCTTATTGGGTTCTCTTGCTTTCATTCTTCTTGTTCCTGTCTGTCATCTTAAACAGCAATTGCCTCTGAAGTATTTTATAGCCCTTTGCAAATAAGTCTCTGTGCATGGAAAACCAGTAATACCCCATTCTGTTCCACCAGGGACGTCACTGGAGTTACACCAGTAGAACTAGGGGAGGAATTTGGCCCCAGACCATATTTTAACACTACATGATCTGAGTCCACTATTGGGCTTTTTGCGGCAAGGGGTTGGCTGAGGACCAGAAGGTCTGGGTATATTTGGCCAAACCGGACAGTCTCTATGCAAAAGAATAAATGGACACAAATCTGACATCAGGTATCATAACATTCAAAAACCAGTAGGAGAACACTTCAATCTCTCTGGTCACTCAATAACAGACCTCAAAGTGGCAATTCTTCAACAAAAAAACTTCAAAAACAAACTCCAACGTGAAGCTACAGAACTGGAATTAATTTGCAAACTGGATACCATCAGATTAGGCCTGAACAGAGACTGGGAGTGGTTGGGTCATTACAAAACCTAAACTTAATTTCCCCAATACCTATTTCTCCCTACTGTTACTCACACCTTCTTGTCAACTGTCTGGAATGGGCCACTATCTTACCACTTCAAAAGTTATTTTTCCTCCTGCTGTTAATTGATTTACCTCATTAGACTGACCTCACACTTGATAAAGCAACCCCCCATCCTTTCATGTACTTATACCTGCTCCTGTATTTTCACTCCATGCATCTGATGAAGTGGGTTCTAGCCCACAAAAGCTTATACCCAAATAAATTGGTTAGTCTCTAAGGTGCCACAAGGACTCCTTGTTGTTTTGGGGTATATTTTGTTATCTCCATTATATCTGTGGTTGTTAGTATTTTTGGGGTTTTTTTGATAAAAAGGGAGGGGGTGGCGAGTACCTTTTTTGGGTGCCTCGAGGTTGGTGGGGAAATTTATACAGCCAGAGGCTGATACCCTCACACTGAGTAGCACCTTACTTTCCAAGCAGATGCACTGAAGTCCATGGGCTGGATCCTCAGCAGTTGTCAATCACCAATGCGCCATGGAAGTCAAGGGAGTGATGCCACCTTTCATCACCTGAGAATCTGGCCATATCTTACGTGCTATTATCCACATTTTGCACACGGGGAACTGAGGCACAGAACGGCTAAAGCCCAGATTGTTAAAGGTATTCAGGCATTGTTCTTTTCAGCATTGCTACACCTAACTCATTTTCAAAAGTGACTTAGGAATTAAGTTAGGGGCTTAATTCCCTTTAAAAATCTGGCCCTAAGTGACACAGAAAATCGGTGTAGAGACAGTGCCCTGAACCCAGCTCCCCCAAGTCATACATCAGGGCCCTAACCACTGGACCACACTTCCTTAGCAAGATGCCTGCTGAAATAAGGCAGGGCCTGCAGATTGTTATTTAAAGTGTGTAGAGGAATTGGTTCCCTGCCCCTTAGTCCCTGACGCTTCTCTTCCCTTCTCAGGTGCGTCTCCCACCAGCAGCTTGACGCCCTCCAACTGGGGAGCTCCTACATCTACCCCCTTCCAAATTTGAGTGGTGTTGCAACTTGGCCTGCAGGGTCACATCACCGATCAGGTTTGGCCTTGCCAAAAGGTGGTCAGACCATGGCCCGGTTGGCCCTCCCAGGCTCCGTGGCCTATGAAGTAAGCTGCTATTCATCATCATAATCAGACCCATATAGAAAAACTACACCAAGAGAACATTAACGCTGCTCAGCTAAGTACTCTGAAGTCAGGGAATGGCAAAGTTAAGATTGGACACACAACCTTAATTCTGACACCTTCTGTCTAAACATTACCTGTATAAGATAACCTTTAATCACATGATCACAAACTGCTTCTCAAATAGTATAAATAGCGTATTATACCATATTTTTTGCTCAAACTTTCCAGAATCATTTACCAAGCCTGGAAAATTTCAGCCCCAAAAGTAAAAGTTTCAGAAAAGGAAACGTTTAAAGTTATGAATGAACACTTGAAAACAGGGGCTTGGAATGGACACACTTGGGCAACCTCAGCCTTATTCATGGCTCCATCTCCAGCTATAATACAAAAAGAAACCAACTGACAATACAACCTGTGGGTGAACTCCCGCCCCACTCAAGCCAATGGGGGTTTTGCCATTGACGTCAATGGAGCCAGTATCCCACCTTATGTATCTATCACCAACCACCATAGTATCTGGGTCCTAGATTCATGCATGACTAGTACAAACGAATCTGTATTGCAATGAGAATGATACAGGATTACATAAAGCAAAGAACAAAAGATGGGCTAAGATGAACCCCTGGATCTCTCACACCCTTCCAAATGTCAAGATGTTGAAAAAGCCAGATCTGGATCCAAATTTTGGGCCTTGAGGCCAGACTGTAGATCCTAGTTTAGAATCAGTTTCAGGCAGAGGTGAAAGTAAGCCGGTGCGGTCAGGTACGGCGTACCAGTGAGAGTCGATGCACAGCCAACCGTACCAGCAGGAGGCAGCTTCCCCAGGTCGACAATTTACAAGGGCCCTGGGCTCTCAGCAGCGGCTGGAGCCCCTGGCCCTTTAAATTTCCGCCAGAGCCCTGCTGCTGGAGCCCTGGGGTAGCGGCGGCGGCCGGGAGTCCCGGGGCTCTGGCAGCGATTTAAAAGGGCCCAGGGCTCTGGCTGCGGTAGCAGCGGCCGGGAACCCCAGGCCCTTTAAATCACCGCTGGAGCCCTCTGGTAGTGACAGTGGCAGCTGGGAGCCCCAGTGCTCCAGCGGTGATTTAAAGGGCCCAGGGATTTAAAGGCCCCGCCCCTACTGCCCGAGGCCACGCCCCTTCTGCCCGAGGCCACGCCCCTTCCGCCCGAGGTGCCCCCCACATACACCTTGCTCAGGACCCTGGCCCTGCATTCCGGTAAGTCCCTTAAGTTATTTTCACCCCTGGTTTCAGGGTAAGGGTCAAACAAGGCACACACTGGGCCACTGGGTGAATTGGTTGGATAAAGATCCAACCTGAGCCTTCCTTAAGCCAAACCTGAACGAAACTGCTTTTACACAGGGGGAAGGGCTTGGAGATCAGGATTTCGTAGCTCTGGTCTCCTGAAGTATCATAGTTTTGCCTGGTGGCTCAGAATCCGCCAGTTGAAGGCTTTGTAGCTCGTGGGCTTGAGAATGGAGACATTCTTTAGTGACACAGCAGAAGCGTTTAATGAGACTCTGCCAACCCCTTTCCTCTGTGTCTGGGACCAGGGGAGGAGAACAGCACTGAAAACCAATAAAGAGAGGCCAGGCAAAGGAGATCAATCCCACGTCACTTTCTGCTGGTGGGATGGGACAGCGTTTTGCTGAGGATCCTGGAACAGAAAGAAAAGGAAGCAAAGTATGAATCAGGCACTGGAGATAGAATCCTGGAGTGCAGGGCCAGCCTTATACATCAGCAGCACAATGTGGACATCAGGATGGGCGAATCTGGCTATAAAATGATAACGCTCTGTGGGTATCCTCTGCCATTAAAAAGCCACGGGTGGCATTCAGACTCCCAATAAAGCCACTACTGAAATTATCTGCTGGCTAGAGATGGTTGGACATTTTTAAATTAGCAAAAATTTGTCAACATTTTTTCCTGGCAAAAATTTGGCCCTTTTTTGTTTTGCAAAAATGTGGCATAATATTTTTGACAAAAATTTGGCACCCTTTATTTTTGCTGGAGAGGTGGAGTGGCAAAAATTTGGCACCAAAAACACATCAAAAACACTTTGCCGACATTTGTGACTGGTTTTTTTTTTTTTTATACATATACCAACTTCCTGAGTGGTCGCAATGCTTCGAAAATTCAAAATGTTGGTGACAATTTTTCTTGAAAATGTTTGCAAAATGTCATTCCGCATTTTTCTCCCGATGGCCTAACCCATTCGGTTTTTACCACAAAGGGGGCAAAACCCAGGGCTCAGCTGTACCAGTGTGAACCCTGTCCTCCACAAGGAGACTTGCTATATGGTCTGGGTGAGCTTTGGCAAGGCTTGCAGTACCTTATCGATGGAGCTAATTGAAGTGAGAGAAAGGGACAAAGCCGGGAGCGTCGAGGTTAGTACATTGCTGCTCATCTACATTTCGATTCTCTCTTACCGGGGCCTTGCTGGAGGGGAAAGCAGACAGAGTAATATTGGAAGACGAAGGTTCTTCCTTGGAGCATCGAAGCCTCGTAAATAATTTCCAATACTCCTCTCTCACCTGAGGGTTGAAAATCCCCCGTCACTTACGGGATCTGAGCAGGGATGTAAACAGAAGTCCCTGATCACATCTTGACATGCTAAATCCCACAAACACACGCCAATCCATCCCAGCATGCTAGCCAAATCCCAGTGCAGGTAATTCCATTCCGCGGGCCAGGTCCTCAGCTGATGTTTGACTCCAAAGGCGATATCTCAGGTATCCCCATGGAGGATCCAGCACAGCTGTTCCGGCGCTAAAGGGTTGTACTGTGTTGCTGTATGCTGCTAAACAGCTACTGTGCTTTGCCCCAGAGATGGCTGCATTTCAGCACCCTATTGCTGCCTCACAGCACCCTACTGCTCTCCCTTCCCCTCCCCTTTTCCACTCCCTTCATTTCTCTCCTTCCCCCACTCCTTTGCCACTCCCAGTAAAAGCTCAGACCCAGCCCACACCTGCTGCCCGTAGGCTGGGGGCATGCAGGCTTCACCTTTCTATTGAGCAGGCAGTGCACCACAAAGATGAAGGTTCCCAGCATGCTGTTGGTGATGGTGAACAGGTACCCCATCACCGTGGCCAGCGGCCCGAACTGGAAGGTGCCCAGCCCCCACGTGAGGCCCAGGACTAAGAGATGAGCCAGGGCTTTAAAAGTCAGTGACCTGAAACAGGGGGAAAACAACCATGTGACAGCCACTGGGATATTGGCACTGGGAGGGAGAACATCAGACATGAAAGCAGAACCTCCCCCTGAGTTTCCATTCCAGATCCCTTGAAAAGGTAACGCCCACGCTCAGTGAAGAGCAAGAAAGAGGAACACCCGGTTGAAAGTGGATCCTGGCGGGTCCGGTCAGCACCGCTAACTGGGCCGTTGACTGTCCAGCCGGCGGCATCACACAGCTCCTGGGAAGCAGCCGGTATGTCCGCCCTCCAGCTCCTATGTGTAGGGGCAGCTAGGGGGGCTCCGCGTGCTGCCCCCGTCCCAAGCGCCACCCTCCCATTGGCCGGGAACTGGAGCCTCCTGGCCACGGCTCCACTTGGGAGCCGGAGGGGGGACATGCTGCTGCTTCTGGGAGCTGCTTGAGGTAAGTGCTGCCCAGAGCCTGCACCCCTGACCTCCTCCCAGGCCCCAACCCCCTGCCCCAGCCCCAGCCCTGATCCCCCTCCCACCCTCCAAACCCCTCAATCCCAGCCCAGACGACCCTCCTGCACCCCAAACCCCTCATCCCCAGCCCCACCCCAGAGCCTGCATCCCCAACCGGAGCCCTCACCCCCCCAACCCCAATCCCCTGCCCCAGCCCAGAGCCCCTCCCCGCTCTCCGAACCCCTCAGCCCAAGCCTGGAGCCCCCTCCTGAACACCAAACCTGGTGAACATCATACCTGGCCCCACCCCAGAGCCCTCACCCCCTCTTGCATCCCAACCCACTGCCTCAGCCTGGAGTCCTCTCACACTCTGAACTCCCCATTTCTGGCCACACCCTGGAGCTCGCACCCTCAGCCGGAGCCCTCACCCCTTCACACACCCCAACCCCTGAGCCAGCCTGGTGAAAATGAACAAGTGAGTGAGGGTGGGGAGAGCGAGCGACAGAGGGAGGGGGGATGGAGTGAGAGGGGTCGGGGCCTTGGATAAGGGGTGGGGCATGGGCAGGGTATAGAAGGAGGGCAGGACAGGGGCGCGGCAAGGGTGTTCAGTTTTGTGTGAGTAGAAAGTTGGCAACCTTCCTCCATGCCTCAGTTTCCCTATCTGGAAATAGGTTCATAGTATTTCCTCCACCGCTCAGAGGTGTTGTGAGGCTAAAACTGTTAGTGAGGTATTCAGCCACTGTTGTGACAGGGACCACGTAATAACCAAGAGAGAGATTATCCATTTCCCCCTAGGAATCTTGCCTGGTGTTCCTCAGAGTAGACAGCTCTGCATTGAGGGAGGAAAGATGCTCTCGCAAAAGCTTCAGAGTAAGGCAGAAAAATACAAAATTTATCTGTAAAGAGAAAAATCAAAGGAGTCCCTCGTACATTTCATCTCAACCTCAGGGTCCAGAGCCCCACCTAGTGTAAATCAGCCTAGCGCCTGACCAGACCGTAACCAAGTTCCACCAGTTGAGGATCTGGCCTATGGGATGGAAGATTAAATTGGACCCTGGGGCTAGAATTACTTTTGGCCGGTGGTTCGAGATGGCCTAGTGTCCCAGAGAAATGCCTCACGGCTGACCTGCAGCCCCAGCACTTTGTTGCTCTAGTCCCCAGGCCTTGTGCAGGTCGACGATATACGGGGGAAGCCTAAACGGGCCAGGAAATGTTCTGGACTGTGAGAATATTGAACATCAATGAATGTCAAAAATACCCGGTGGTGCCTGACTGCCCTCTCACTCAGCCTGGTGTAAACCAGGAGTAACTCCATTGGGCCTGTTTCCCCTCTCCCTCACGCCAGTGTAAATCAGGAGGAACTCCACTGAAGACAATGGAGGGAGACCAGGTGTGAGGAGAATCAGGACCACTCTGTTGCTCAGACGGCTCTGAACAATGTTGTTCTTTATGTTCTAGATGGCCCATCCCCCCAACTCCCCCACACCATAGGCTATAGCTCTCCTTAGGAGGTTTATCTGTCTGGGGTGTCTGTCACTGCTAGCCTCACTGAGGACGTGTAGGGGCCAGAGCTCTGGGATTACACTAGCTGCTCCTCGGGGGGCTGCCGTTCCCAAAATGGGGTAGCCATGCATTCATTCTGCAAAATCTCCTTGGTCAGGTCGGGTTGTATGCCTTCAGACTCCAGACCCAGGGCGCCCCAGACCCGCCTCCTCCTAGTGACTCTGGTCTGGGCCCCATCTCTTTGGTGTTCCCATCTATAAGAGATTCCACCACAGCCCTCTGGTTCTGCTGCTCTGGGAAACCCGAGACCCTGCTGTACCCACCACAACCACAGCGCAGACAGGCCCAAGGAAATTCCATCTAAAGCCATTATCAGGATTGAGCCAGCAGCTACAAAGAAAGAGAGAAAGGCCATCAGCAGAACCCTGGCAAGACCTGTACGGCCTGCATTTGCTACCTCGGCACCACTGCCATGTGAGCTGGTGGCACCGGCATTGCTGATCTAAGGTGGGGGTCTTTATACAGTCAGTGTGAATGGAATTCACCCCAGTGCCTGCAGGATGCACAAGTGCTCCTAGGCACAAGGCTCTGGCACAGGTTCTCCATACTGAGACAAAGCTCCCCCTTGCCACGCAGGACTTACTGATAAGGAGTTCCATAGCTGTTGGGAGCGCTGGCTGCAGACGTGATCACAATCACTGCGGGGAGTCCATAGCCAAAGGGGTACATGCATTTCCGTGTGCATCTGCCCGTGCCTGAGTAATTTTTCACCTTCAGATTCCTGACAATGAGGTACAGACTCACTGCTTCTAGCAACATCCAGGCAAAGCAAGCGAGGAAGAGGTAATGCAGCAAGCCGGCGGTGATGGAACACATAAGCTGGAGGAGGAATGGAATGTCAGTCCAGGTTTATTTGGAGAAATGAGCTCTCTTCCTGCCTTGGGAGGGTGCACCTAGATTGTGGGCAGGCAAACGCTTAGGGTGGGAAACTGAAACTGACCCTAAGTCTGTTGAACACCTGGCGTGAGCACTGCCCCAGCTCAATGCTGCATTATAGGTACAGCCAGTGGAAATCTGGGGATCTTGTCTCAGCAGGGTCAGAGCAGGCTTTGGCTTTGTTTCATACCTGCTGAGATTTGCATTGGGATGGAATCAGTTCCAGCCTGCTCCAAATATCAGCCCAGATTCACTGAACTCAGCCCAGTTATGGGGTTGAAAGGAAGCCTCTAACCTGGGGCAACTGGGTGAGGGTTAGATTATTGAGGTTTTACCCAGCTCTAGTTACAGACCCCAGCAAAGGTTGCAGTTACAATGGGTCACAGAATCATAGAATCATAGGAGTAGAAGGGACCGCAAGTGTCATCTAGTCTAACCCCCTGCTGAGATGCAGGATTTGTTGGGTCTAAAATCATCCCTGGGTGGTGCAATCTCTACTGCAGTCCATTTACTATCATTCTCCTCTCACTCACCCTGGTCTAAATCAGGAGTAACTCCACTGAAATAGGTTTCAGTGGTAGCTGTGTTAGTCTGTATCAGTAAAACAAACAAACAACAAAAAAAACCGAGGAGTCCTTGTGGCACCTTAGAGACTAACAAACTTATTTGGGCATAAGATTTTGTGGGCTAGAACCCACTTCATCAGATGCATGAAGTAAAAGATACAGGAGCAGTATAAATACATGAAAGGATGTGGGTTGTTTTACCAAGTGTTAGGTCAGTCTAACGAGATAAATCAATTAACAGCAGGATACCAAGGTGCCACAAGAACTCCTCGTTTTTTTCCCCACTGAAATAGCGGAGTGTAAGTGCAAGCAGAATCCGGCCCAGTTGGGAGTCAGCCCAACATATGTGAGATCCCAATGCAGGTAGGTGAAGAAACCACAACGGGAGCTGTGAATGGTGCCTGGAGAATTCTGCGCCTACTGTACCTTGTTGTAAGTCTTGTCTATTCCCACTAGGAAGAGGAGATCGGCCAGGAAGAGGCACATGCTGAGCTGCAGGTGGAGGAAGGTGCTGCTGGTGTTACGGATGGGGTGGCAGAAGAGGAAGGTGACGATAGCCAGGATGAGACAGATCAGGGAGATGATGAGCCCAGTTTGGCTGATCACAAAGAGGGCAAAATCCACCTGTGACACAGAACAGCTGAAGTCAGGGCCATGGGTTGCTCCCACTCACCAAGGCCTTTGGTGCTTCTAGTCTGTCTGGGAACTCATAGAATCATAGAGTATCAGGGTTGGAAGGGACCTCAGGAGGTCATCTAGTCCAACCCTCTGCTCAAAGCAGGACCAAGCCCCAATTTTTGCCCCAGATACCAAATGGCCCACTCAAGGATTGAACTTACAACCCTGGGCTTAGCAGGCCAATCCTCAAACCACTGAGCTATCCCTCCCCCGCTTCTTACTGCATCATGCTGGTTCTGCGTGCATGAGCAACGTAGCCATCTCACCTTCTCGTGGCTGCCCAAAGTGTGCGTAAGGGGCCTGGTATAATGGTGGCCACAGACATTTTCCTTTAGCTAAAGCGGCAGAGGCCTGGGCTTTTGGAGCTGAAGTTCTAGTGGCTTGATTTTTAGAGATACACTCTACCCAAGAGGCAGCTGCATTTCAGAGGTGAGAGAAGCGATTCCTCTACACATGCTGCATAAGACACATGAGAATTGCTGTAAACTGCCCCAACCCTATTTCTGCTGTATTAGCCTGACAGCCATGATCTAAATTCAGTGGATTCTCATGGGACACTGACTGTCTTGGGGGATTAGCATGACATTTTATTAAACGGGCGGCCCAGGACTAGAGAAGCAAGAACTAGACCGTACACTGGATTGACTCATTTTACAGCAGTTTGCGAAGGCCCCTGGGGAGAGAAAGTCATTAGTTCAGTTTATCCAGGGAGTTAATTGCACTTCATTTATAGGCCTGGATCCTCAGTGGGTGTAAATGGGCATAACTCTGCTGACTTCACTGAGTTCAATGGAGCTATGTTGATTACACCAGCTGAGGATCTGGCCCATAGGTTGTTTTTTGTTGTTGTTGTTTTGGGGTTTTTTTAGATATAATGAGATAATGGCAAGAGATTTTTCTAGATTATTATATGCAGTATTTTCTCTGCCACCATGATGAGCATAGCCCCCCCTCCTGTGCCATGTTAACTAGGGTGACCAGATAGCAAGTGTGAAAAATCGGGACAGGGGGTGGAGGGTAATAGGCACCTATATAAGAAGAAGCTCCAAATATTGGGACTGTCCCTATAAAATTGGAACATCTGGTCACCCTAATGTTAACTGCCTTCAAAGGAAGGGAATTGTTTCTCTCCTCTGAGCTTTGCTTGTCTCTTCATTTGCTTGCTTTGAATTTGCCAAAGCAACAGTGCCCCCTAGTGGAAAGACACAGAACATCTTATAAGCAGGCCTATACTTCCAACATGTCTAGTTGTCAGTATTTAAAATTATACCCCTCATGGAAAGTAGAGGTTGATGATCTATGGATGGTTATCACAATGGTCTTTAACCAGCAGTCTGATCACTGGCTCACCAATTAAATCCCTCTGGAGTAAATCTAAGGAGCAAAGTTATGCCTAATTGATAGATTGGGCATGGGCTGGAGAAAGCTACAGGGCTAAGCAAGCCGTTAGCCCAGAAAATAGAAACGTGTGGGTGATGGTGGGGGTGCAACATGACATGATATGACATGACACCAAATCCTACGCTTTGAGAGTCGGAGCCAGAACAGATCTCAAAAAGGGGAAATACCTTTGTTCCCCTGCCCTTCGCTGAGTGAGCTAAGGTCTCCAAGTGGTTTGTGGAGAGACAGGAGACGAATAATGCCCTGTCACAAACCCCAGTACTAAAAAACAGAATTTCAGGTTCATGGCAACATGGAGTTCAGTTTTTAACTACACCCTATACAAAGAAAATTGCTCGTGTTTTTAGATTTAGATTTTAGATTTTTAGATAGGGGGAGGGATAGCTCAGTGGTTTGAGCCTTGGCCTGCTAAACCCAGGGTTGTGAGTTCAAACCCTGAGGGGGCCATTTAGGGATCTGGGGCAAAGATTGGGGATTGGTCCTGCTTTGAGCAGAGGGTGGGACTAGATGACCTCCTAAGGTCCCTTCCAACCCTGCTATTCTGATTCAAGGTATATAGGATTAAAGGTGCCCAGATTGGGTCTTGTTACTTGTGATCACCTTGACTACAGTGTGGGTCTCTGTAGAAATAGCACTATGTTTAGCCTCTCTGTGACCCTATTAAATGTGCCGCTCAGCAGATGGGTCAAAAGAAATATTTGTCTAACTCCCAGTGGTGCAAACTCAGCTTGGGGTCAGAGCATATGGCGCGGTTCCTTCTGGAGCGTGCGTCACTCACAACAAAGATTCTGCAGCTGGAATCTAGTGACCAGTTCTGCTAATTCTGCACGAGTCACACTCAAATCTAGCAGTGCTGGCTCAGTAGGGCTAACAGTAAAACAATCTAATTTTAGTCAGCAAAGAGGAAGACACAGCAGCAAAGAGGAATTTCTATTACAACAGCACCCAGAAGCCCCTTCTAAGATCAGGGCCCACTGGGAGGGGTGCTGTACAGGCACATGGTAAGAGACAGTCCTTCCTCCCAGTCCTCTGTCTGAGCTAGAGGAGAACCCTGCTTTGTGAGTCAGTGGTACTAGGGGTGGGTGACCAGTCTGGGTTGTAAATATCGAATTCTGTCAGTCCTAAGGCTCTACAGGAAGGGTCCAAGATCTCCAAGACAGCAGGAAACCTGCAGTGATGTTTGCACGACAATGCTACGTGTGCTGGGTGCAATGGAGATTGGATTTGACAGAAATGAATGTCGGTTTGGATTTCTGCCCCGAGGCCTGATCCTGCTGTCCCTGGGGAGAAGAGTAAGACGTCAGTTGAGATGGGCTGGAGCTGTTGTTTCTGCTGCTGTTAAAGTCTGCTCCTGTTTATGTAGCAGAGACAGCTATGAACAATGGAGGGACTGCCCAAGGTACATGGAAGGTCAGAGCTGAGCCGTGTGGGCTGAGGAGTTGCACTGGCTGCAGACGCAGGGTCTAGGAGATTGGTTTTGCAGCCTGTGTGCATAGGCGCTGACATCCCCTCTTTTTTGTGGGTGCTCGACCCACCCCTTTGCCCCCTGTTCTGCCCCACTCCACCCCTTCTACGAGGCCCTGCCTCTTCCCCCCCCCTTCCCCGCCCCCATTCCAACCCCTTCCCCAAATCTCTGCCCCGGCCCTGCCTCTTCCCCGCCTCCTTCCCTGAGCGCGCCATGTTCTCGCTTCTCCCCCACCTCCTGAAGCGTGCTAACGCTGCCAAACAGCTGTTTGGCGGCAGCTGGGTGGGAAATGCTGGGAGGTAGGCAGAGGTGTGGGGACGCGGCACGCTCTGGGGGGCAGGAGGAGGTGGGGAAGGGTGGGAGGGGAGCTTGGCTGCCAGTGGGTGCAGAGCACCCACTAATTTTTCCCTGTGGGTGCTCCAGCACCGGAGAGGCAGCAGAGAGACAGAACTTCCTGGGCACAGAGCTCGCTGGAGTGGCTGGCGTGGAGATTTATGAGCCAGAAAACTGCCTATTCTTTGTATGCCCTGTGTTCAGGAAAACAGGACTTTGTGTACATGTTTTGTACATAAACAAGATTACGCTGAAGTACACACCTGAGCAGTAGCATCAATTTCTCCACCCTGCAAGGCTCTGAGTATTGGCCAACTGCTTGGGCCAAGGGGACATCGTTATGCCCAGTGGGGAGCCCAGCATCCCATGCACTGACCCTTCCAGAGACACCTGATTTTAAGCCCAAAGTCCCAAATACCTGAACGACACCAGGCGCCATCAGCACCGCAAAGCTGGCCAGGTAGCGACAGCTGCACTGAGTGTGAGTGACATTGGAGTGAAGGTGCTGGCAGCCCTGGGGGGACCAGACACCATCCTGGCCTGCAGAGTTCCAGTGGACACAGATGGCCCGATCCAGCAGAGTCTTGTCCTGCAAGGATTTGCAATTACAGACAGAAAGGGGGTTCAGACCATATTAAGCAACAGCAGAGTCTTTAATAGCAAATCAACACAGGGATGAGTTCGGAGCTCCTGGATTCCCTCCAGGAAGTGGTGATTAGGGTCAAGCAGGAGTTTCTCTCTCCCCACCGTGCTCTGCATGGCACAAACAACTAGACTCATCAGGAAGGATGCTGTGTTTGTTGGACACATGGGCTGAACTGCTACAGCCAGTCATGTGTCCCTGGGATCCTTTGATGTGTTTGGTCTTTCCTAGATCTCAGGGGATGAGAGCCCATGGGACAAGTCTTCAGCTAATTTCAGGCATCAGAAATAATGGACTGGCATAAAGTACCTTTATTGAGACCCACATCTCAACACTCTACTACAGCAATGGTGCAAAACACAGAGTGATTGTTATTATTAATCATAAATATTTGTATAGCACCATCAATAATTATTTTTATCCAAGGACCTTAAATGAAGGTCAGTTGGATTAACCTGATTTTACAGATGGGGAAACTGGGGAACAGAGCAGTTAAGTAATTTGTCCAAGTTCACCCAGCAAATCCACAGAAGACCCTGGAGTAGAATCCGCATCCTTGGAGCGCCAGTCTGAAATCTTACTTTTGATATTCCCTACTGTCTGGGAGATACATACAGAGTCCCTGCCCCAAAGAGCTTAAAACCTAAGAAGAGACAAAATGAGGGGGTATGGACAAACACCAGGGGGAGGAGAGGTGGTGGGAAGACAAGGTTCATTCATCCAATGGCATCAGCTGAGCTACACCAGGGCAATTTTGAGCCTCAGTATTCAGCCCCAAGGGGTTAGAAATATTCGTTGCAAGAAACGGGCCCACGGCACAGCTTTTGGGGATGGATCCTAAAACTTGGGGTATTTGGTCCAGGCTTTGGGTTTGGCCACTCCTCTAGAATTGGGATCGTTCAATGATGGGTCACGACCAAGCAAAATTAAATGAACACAACCCAATGGGGGCTCCCCCCACACCCAGAAAACCCACCACAAAGAGAATGAAAACATCCACCTGCTCATAGGTTCCTGGGAATGGGGAGGTCAGGGACGGGGAGACAGACTGAGAGGCTCCAGAGGGAGAGAGGGCTTGGTGTGCTGATCATATCCCAGTCCATGTCAGGCCAGCAGCCACCCAAGAAACAGAGGAGCCAGGCAGCAGCCTCAATGGGCCGGTGATACAGTACAGGGGGTGAGGCAGTGACCTCACAGAAGTCTAGGGCAGCACCATGGGATACAGGGATGCATCTGGTGGTGCCCTTCCCCCAACTCCTGGCGCACTATTGGGATCCCAGGTGCTTCCATGCCAAGCAGAGGGTATCCGGGGACCCGACTTGCCAATGGGATCCTATGACTTGCCCTGCCAAATACATTCCATGACCTGCTGTGCCACGGCAGTGGGATCCCATGGCCGGCCCTCCCTGCCATTTCCGGGGGGGAGACGTGGTGAACACATCATCCCATGATGCTTCTCCAATATCCTCCCCCCTCTCTGAGCCTTTCACCGCCACAGGGCATGAGGCCAGGAAGACAGAGATTCTTGTCTTAACCTATCACCTGGGGTTGCCACCTGTCCAGGTTTCCCCAGGATCGCCCCCCTTTTGAGGCGGCTGCCCTGTGAGAGCTGGAAGGGCACAGCATCGTCCCACGTGTCCTGGTTTTTCGTACCTGAGAGGTGGCAAACCTATTATCTATTCTGACTGAACTCCTGCAGCGTGCACCTAAAGCTGGGCCCAAGTCATGGAGTTCCGATCTAGATGCGAATCCAGATCCAAAACTCCCTGAGGCTTCTCAGAGACCCAGGGTTGCGGTTTGGGCCTTTACGGACTGCCGTACTCTGCGGGGGTCCATAACAGACAAGATGGGTTGATAACGGACTCTCCTTTCCCCCAGCTCATGCTGTTGATATATTGAGGACACACATTGTCGACCCACCTCAAGGTGCTGGAAGGTGAGGTTGATGGGACTGGAAATCTTCTTCTTCCAGGTGCTGGAGGAGGCACTCACCACTCTGGAGTTCACGCGAACCTGTTCTGGTCTTGCCTTGCTCCCTGGATTTTCATCCTGCAAAAATCTCCCTCCCAGTAGGGACTCCAGCCCCATGTAGGAGATAAAAGCGACAGCAGCAGAACCTGCAAGCGGGTGAGGGTGGAGGGGCTGAAACAGCTTAGGGGCAGATGGTGGGGCTAGTTGGGGAATTTGGTTTTCCTCCTGCAAAAAAATGGTGATGAACATGACCCCCCCCACCCCCCGTTTCCTTCAATTTTTTGTATTTTTGTCAAAAAAAGAGAAATTTTTCCAACAACTGAAATTTTTTGCTCAACATGCCATTTTATCAAAAAAGCCATTTTCTGCAGGACAAAAAAAAATGTTTCCACCAGCTCCGGAGAATGGCTGAACCAACGGGTAAAAATGATTTCCCGGACGTGTTGTTTAAGGTAAGATAGCACAGAGTCCAGCTCTGCAAGGTGCCTACAAATTCCACTAACTTCAGAGGGACATTCAGCACCAACAGCTTGTGGCTATCCTAAACCTCTGAGTTACAGAAGCCAGGAGGGGAAGACAGGGGTTGATTTCTCCAAATTGCTCTGTTTGTTACACTCCCCCTGAAGCTCTGGCACTGGCCACTGATGGAACATTGGTCTGACGCAGTACGGCCGTTCTTGTGTGAACCAGACTGGGGTCAAATAGCATCCGATTGGACAATATTCCCAGACTGTGAGGCCAGAAGGGACCATTAGATCTTCTAGTCTGACCTGGCCTGAGAATTTCACCCTGTTATTCCTCTACTGAGCTCAATCACTTGAGTTTGGCTAAAACATCTCTTCCAGAAACGCAACCATCTGGATCTATCAAGAGATGAGAAATCCACCACTTCCCTTGACAGTTTGTGCCAATGGCTAATTGTCCTCTGTTAAAAATCTGTGCTTTGTTTCTAATTTGAATGCGTCCAGCTTTAACTTCCAGCTGTTTGTTCTTGCCAGGCCTTTCTCTGCTAGGTTTAATGGTTTAAAAGCCTGTCCACTGTCTGGGATTGGCTTTTGATCAGGCCCATATGACATTCTTGCCCGCACAGCGAACTTTGAAAGGGCCCACTGAGTCCCTACTTGGGCAAACTTGCCCTGACCTCGGTGTCTGAGGAAGTGCTTGATCCAATAAGAACAGGAAGGAAGGACTTTTTAAGGCATGCAAGACCTGGGCCTGACCCTGAGGAATCAGTGAGAGTTGAGGGTACTGAGCAGAATCAGGGCCCTTTGTCGGTGCATTAACACCAGTGGGGGAGCCAAGAAATCAATGAGACGCTCATTTAGAAAACTGGCCTATGAGGAAGAATTGTGAATATTTAGTTCAGAGAGGAGAAGGCTGAGTAGGGACCTGATAACAGGCTTTCAATACATACAAGATTGCTATACAGAGGATGGTGATCAATTATTCTCCATGGCCACCGAGGGCAGGACAGGAAGGATTCAGCTTTTGCAGCCAGGGAGCTTCAGGTCAGAAATTAGGAAAATCTGTTTAACTCTAAGGATGGCTCAGCACTTGAACAGGTGACCTAGGGAGGTTGTGGAATCCCCGTCATTGGGGGGTTTTAAGAACAGGTTGGACAAACACCTGTCAGGGCTGGTCTAGGTATATTTCATCCAGCCTTAGTGTGGAGGGATGGACTAAGTGACCTCTTGAGGTCGCTTCCAGCTCTACATTTCTCTGCTTCGGTGATTCCATTACTAAGGGACTTGCACAGTATGGCTGGTCCCCACACTACGGGCTGCATTCTGCCCCTTTACTCATATGGGATCAAACTCACTGTTGTCAACCCATTGAAGACAATGGATAGTAAATTGCTCCACAAAGAGTCCTGTAGACCTCATGGCGCCATTCACAGAGTAAGGGCCAACTTGCCATAAGCAAGTTACTAATCCACGAGGTTGCCAGTTTTATATATGAGCCCTGAACTACAAGGCACCGGAGAGGAAAGTAGTTATGATCAGTGGGTTGCAGGGATGTCTCCATGGTACCTTCCATGTCAGGATCAGTGACGGCAGTGCAGTGAATATCCATTCTGTCTTCGTGAGCACTGAACCCAAGTATCTCACTCCGCAGACTACAGTTCTCATCTGTGAGCTTCGTCTGAATCGCTGAAAGGCGCCAAGAGAAAGGGGCTCGGGTAACTGAGTACTTCTCATGCACATGTATTAGCTGTATTACAGTAACATGCAGAGGCCCCCAGTTAGAGATCAGGGCCCCACTCTGCTGGGTGTTGCACAGACAGGTAGGAGGAGACAGTCCCTGCCCCACTGCTCTTACAATCAAAGTAACTTCAACGGCAATATCTCTGTACATGGACCAGCCCCCAAGGCATTCTGTCAAAAAGCTGGTTCCAGCCTCTAAATCCACACCTGGATCCAGGGCTGAATGTAGAGCCTCTTTCTAAGACAGACTTAATCATAACCCTGTGCTGAACACCCCAAAAACCTGGGGGTAAGTGGTTAAAAACCCAGCGCCCGACACCTATGTGAATTTCATGGCTCGGGCCCAGTCTACTTCTTACCCATTAGCTTGGTGGTTGCAGTCTGGGTTTGGTTCTCCGGAGAGGCCAGGGCAGCTGTCACTGCGGCTGACCCCACACTCTGCAGAAGCAGCGTTGCCGCAGAAGCGACTTCTTCCATGCTTTCGATGCTCCAGAGGGAGCTGTCCACAAGGACATGTTCGAAGGATGCCGCTGTCTCCTAGAGAGGGTTAGGGGGTCAGAGCCTGCATCATGACCGTTTGGAAAGTCTCCGGCTTTCCCCTGCATTCCAACGGGGGCTATGTTCCCTCTGTCCAGCTCCACGCACTTAAGTGTGGAACTCCTGGTGGGAAACGGGTTGCAGCCCACTGATTTCTGTGGCCTTTGGGGTCGGGCCCTAGGAGACGACTCAAATACTTATGGAGATACCAAAACGGTGAAGGATAGTCCTAAAATCTGTGTGGAAAATCCATGCAGGCGGATAGGCAGACAGACAGACCGACAGGGACTATCCTGTCGAGCGATTGCCACCCCTGTGCAGAAGACCAGAACAAGGCCTGTTTCAGTCTCCTATAAACCCTACAGAATGTAAGTGACACATACACCTTTTGCTGGCCCACTGCTCAGTGATACATTTGATGTCAATGGGAGTTAGGCAGGGCTGTCCTTAGGCATACGCAGCAAATGCGGCTGCCTAGGGCACCCAAAAATTTGGGGCACCACCGGGACCATAGGCGCCGACTTCTCATCTTGCTGTGGGGGTGCTCAACCCCTGCACTCTGCTCCAGGCCCTCCCCCGACTCCACCCTCCCCCCAAGGCCCCACCCCCACCCCACCTCATCCCACCCCTGCTCCACCCCCGCCCCACCTCTTCCCCACCTCCTCCCCCGAGCATGCCCTGTCCCCGCTCCTCCCCCTCCCTCCTGGAACTCGAACGCAGAGAATCAGCTGTTCGCGGTGCTCTGGAAGCACTGGGAGGGAGGGGGAAGAGTTGGTAACTGCACTGGTGGGTGCTCTGCACCCACTAAATTTTCCCTGTGGGTGCTCCAGCCCTGGAGCACCCACCCACGGAGTCCGCCCCTATGACCAGGACAGCAGGTAAGCGCGGGTCGGCTCCCACACACCCAGTGCACGCTGCAGTCTCCTTACGAGGCAGAAGGCAGGGGCCGTATTCATTTTGTGTTGCTAAGAGTAAGGAGGGCATAGGGGCACCAGTTTAATAATACTGCGGCGGGCCCCATAAATCCTAAGGATGGCTCTGGAGTTAGGCATGCAATACCTTTCAGGCTCTGGGCAGTTGTTCCTAAAGTGAACAGGAGTATTTGTGGCACCTTAGAGACTAACAAATTTATTTGAGCATAAGCTTTCGTGGAGCTCACGAAAGCTTATGCCCAAATAAGTTTGTTAGTCTCTAAGGTGCCACAAGTACTCCTTGTTCTTTGTGCGGATACAGACCTACACGGCTGCCACTCTGAAACCTGTTCCTAAAGTGGAGTGTTACAAGAGGATTCTAAACAGGCTCAGCAAGTGTCAGTCAGGGAGCTACACCAGTCCTGGCAGAGACCGGGGTGTCCCAGTGTTAAAGGTGGGTCTCTCTAACAATGGAACATTTCTGACCTCTAGGGAAGTGGTCAAGCTGACATTCTCACAGGCAGGTGTCAGGAGGCTGAGGGTGGAATTGACCAGCGAACAGAACAAGCTGGTTTTCCTGTTATCCCAATTAATCTAGGAAACCACAAGAGATAAGACACATGTCATTAGGGTTCATCCAGTGAATGAAGGCCAGTCATGCACAGTGTCCCAGAACATAAGCTCGTGTCAATCGATATAGCTGCATGAAAGCCAATAGAGCTACATTGATTTACATCAGCAGGAAGCACAAATACCGTTCATGGAAGAACTGCATTGCTCATACGTTCTATCCCACCCCTTCTATCTCATCTCAGCAGGGCAGGAAACCCTGCCTGGGAATTATCATCAGTGCTCTTCATTGACACTTAGAATAGGGGATAACAATCCCTAGCTCTTTATATAGCACTTTTCATCAACAGCTCTCAAAGGAGGTCAGCATCATTAGCCTATTTTGAAGAGGGGGAAACTGAGGCATGGGAGGCGAAGTGACTTGTCCAAGGTCAGCCAGTAGGCCAGCGTCAGAGCCAGAAACAGAGAGTCAGCTCTTCTGAATCCCACGCTGGCGTCTTGTCCATGTGTGTGTCCTCCAGTGCTATTTTCACATCCACGAAACAATGCTAACTTACCTGCTGTGATCCATTCAAACACATCTTCACGTAGTCATTTTCTCTCATGAAACCTGATCGGCAGTGAAGGGGGATTTCTGTGCAAGGAAAGAACAGGGTGAGACCATTTGTCCTCCTCACGCTGTGCAGGACAAATGCAGCTTGATTTTTGGTTTTGTTCACAGCTTACACCCTGGAGCCAAATGTAGGGTCCCCGTGGCCTTAAGTGATACATGGACCTGTGCTGGCCCTCTGCACAGAGGTGAATTCCACCCTGTATGGGGACCCTTGGATGAAAGATGCTGAAGAAAGACCCAGTGCTAGTGTGACACTTACCCTCACAGCCGGACTCACTGGTAGCAAGGAAAGGCTCTTTTCCAGAGATGAACCTGAACCCGTCTTCACATATGCAGTGAGAGATGTTACAGGAAACCGCATTGGGGCCACAGTCATGGTCGCTGCCACTCCCGCTTTCTACATCTTCAGAATCATCAACAGAAAGAGCTGGAACAATAAAAAGCCGCCCATTTCAGTACAAGAGGGTCAGGGTCTGCTGGCCCTGTCTGTCGGGCACCAGTTCAAACTCCGATGGGGCGGAATTGGTGGAGAAGTGGGCAGTGGCAGGGAATCACCCTCAGCACCGGTGATCGGGGACTGCTGGAGCTCATGACATGTGCATCCCAACTGGCTATGTAGCACTAACTAGGACAATTAGAGACTCTTTCCAATGGGCTTTGGATCAGGCCCTCACTGAGTTAAACAGAAGGAGATTAAAAGAGGCAGGGCAGGGTGGAAAGGCATGCATTCAGCTGGGAGGTAGAACGAGCTGGAGTCAGTGAGGTGGCGAGATTCCGGGGGGCTTTCAAATGGCAGGAGCTGAGGGGAAGAAAGTTCTTGCAGAGTGTTAGTAGCCTGGCTGTGGAGCAAGCCAAAGAAGAGGCCAGCAGGAGATGAACAGGAATGAGGAAGGGCTGGAGGAAGACGAGATCTGTGGGGCAGGCTGGGGGAACTCCAGAGAAGGTCTAAAACACAAGGAGCTGAACTCCAGCTGTGGAAGTCCCACGATGCAGAGGAGCTCCGAGACTATCTGCCCTTTCACCTGCCATGCAGGGGAAAGGGGGAGGACATAGGCAGCGTTCTCCTGGTCCTTACACCACTGGAGCAAGATTCCTTGCAGAGCTTGGGTGGGCGGAGGGCAATTTTGAGCTGGATCTTGAAAGGAACGGAGAGCCAGTAGGGACGAGCAAGGATGAGGGCAACGTGATCGCAGTTCACTGTGCCGCACTGTGTTCTGCTCACGCCTGGAGCTGGGCATGGAGCAGAGGAGGAAGTTGCAAAGGAAGGGGCGTGAAGGCCCGGCTGAAGGTTGCAGCCGAGCTGGACTTGAGATGGGTGGAGCTCGGGGGTGCGGTTGCATTGCGGGCAGGACATGTGCACACACAGATGACGTGAGGGTAGGAGAGTCCAGAGTTAAGGATGATGGCTGGGACACAAGTGGTGGAAGATACTTATGATTAGGGGGAAAGATGTGGGGGAAACAGCCAATCACCATCCCCTTAAAAGCCCTGGGGAGGAGTTACCTGATCTTGGTCAGGCTACCAAGCCATCAGAGGACGATGTAGGTAAGTGGGGTTGGGATCACTAACCCTAAGCAAACATCCCAAAATCATGAGATTAACTGAAAAATGATAAGATTTTTCAAACTAACAAATGTTGGGTTATTTTTATTTGCCTGCTGGCACTGGGTCACAATTATTGGGAGTGGACCACATCCACCCTGACTGAATTGGCCTGCAATGTAGGTTCTCCACTTGTAAGGTAACTCCCTTCTCTTCATGTGCCAATATATATTTATGCCTGTATCTGTAATTTTCACTACAAGGCATGTTTTCTAATCCTTCAATCATTCTTGTGGCTCCATTCTCCTGAGAATATGCATTTCCATCAAAATCAAAATGCTTTGTGAAATTGGGTCAATTGTTCCAGAATTTTGTTTTGGAAGAAAACTAGAAAAAAAAAATTCTGACAATGTCAAAACATTTGACATTTTCAGAACAAAACATTTTGATTTTTCATTTTGAAATTACTTTTCATGTCAATTTTTAAAAACGTGTTATGTATTATTATATATGGTTTCGGGCATGACCAGGGTTCAAATCTCTGCTCTGCCACTGAATTTCCTGTGTGATCTTTGGCAACTCACTTAGCCTCTCTGTGCCTCAGTTCCTCATTTGTACGAGACTACAGTTGAGATGGCTGGCAGTCTGGGTACCAAAGAAACCATCAGAAGTCAGCCCTACCGAAGCTTGGCATTGGAAACAGGAGAAGGTGATATATGCATTAGCTTCTAATACAATACACAATTTTCAAAAGTGAAAATGGAAACAAAACATTTTTGGTGGACACAAAATGATTTTTTTCTGGAATTTCCTATGTGGAGAGTTTCAGAATGATCAGTTGTTGTTCTGATTCGGAACTGAGCCAGAGTTTGAAGTCTCGAAAGTCTTTGCCAAATGGAATTCTTGGGCTCTACACACAGGGACCGCCTACCAAATCCCCAAATATCACTTCAGTGCTAGGAATTGCTTCTTTGCCTTGTGCTGGCCCCTTTGTAATACCACCAGCTGTTTGCCTAGGCCCCTTTCCCTTCTTATTAAAATGTAATAAGGAACTGGAGGGAATTAAAATTCATACTCACAGTAGAAAGTCACATGATAACAGCTGAAGGCTGTGGAAAGAAAAAGAAGGCAAATAATCTGAGAGTGCATTAAGGTAAATGCCCTGGGAGAGCTGCTAACAAAAATCCCAGTACACGTTAAGGTGCTCCATATATGAAATGTGCGACATGTGCATGTTGCAAGTATATGAAACCATCCAGGAGAACGACATGAAAGGGACAATTGATTCAACTCCCACTGGATTTAATGGGGCTCTTTCTCATTGATTGTCATGCAAGTTGGGTCGGGCTCCACCCATTGACTTTAAACTGATTAACAGCAGCTGAGGATCAGGCCCTTAGTAAAAAGGGCTTTACAAAACTAAGGACCTAAAGCTGCTGCCCTGTGTACTGTATGTGGCCTGATGCAAAGCTCACTGAGGTCAATGGAAAAACTTCCATAGGTTTGGCACTAAGCCCACACGTTAATCCTACATGGAGTGCTGTTAACTTCACCTGGTTCCTGAGTGAATAAATGTTTGCCAGATTGGGCCCTGGAGTGGTTTTTTATTTATGCTATGCCCATTGTGGTGGTATCTGGTCACACAGCAGAGAATAAATGCCAAAATAATTGCTTCCCACCACAAGTACAGACCAATAGGCACAGGCTAAATTCCGATCAGCCTCCCCCATTAGATGGGAAAAATAACTCAGGCAATGCACCCAAAGTCAGAAAGTTAAAAATAATCCCACCTGCTTCATCGCAGAAGAGAAGGAATCCGAGACCTGCAGTTAAATAACAATCGGATGTTAAAAGGGTTGTGTCTGAGGGCAGAGGTTGTGAGGGCTTCCCCCTTGTTAACCCCACCCAGAGCAATTGATGGGGCTAGGCCTTATGTACTAATCAACAGGACTCTTTGTTCTTTAAAGAAAGGTAACGTGATTTGAAATGACTGGAAGTCTCACTATCTTCCAACTTTAGCAGGCAAGGGACTCTGCTCTAGACAGCTCCAGGACCACTGGGCTTTGTACTCTACCCAGGGTCTCTGTCCTGTACACTATTCCCCATTCATTTCAAATCTGACCTTGCTTTTCAAACCCACTTGCACCATCCAATTTTCACGTCTCTTTCTCTTTACTCCCCTCTGCTTTGCTCCATCTTCTCCTCTACTGCCAGCCTCCTCGCACTCCCTTTGAACAATCGACTGGTGAAAGAGGCTTCTCCTCTGCAACCTCTGAGGCCTGGAACTGCCTCCCTGCCTCATTCTGCCACATGAGTTTTCCATCTGTGTTTAAACCTCACCTGAAAATGCACCTTTTCTCCCTGGCATTTACCATCCCCTTTAGTGTGTCCCCCTCTCTGCTGTTTTTTAATACACCACATCATTTTATTCTGTGCAGCATTTAAGTAAACAGTGTGTAGGAAAAGAGCTGCACAAAAGCTGTGTGGTGTGTTGAAATTAATGGTCCCAGAAAAGCTCTGCTGGGCTCCTGTCTCTAGCTGCGATTCCAGAGGCACTCTGGAGCTTCTCATTTAGCGCTAGTTCTAGAAAGAGGGGAATGGCGGGGGCGGGGGGCCGGGAGGGAAGGAGCTGGTATTGTGGTGGAATGCCAGTCATGCATGAGCAGGACATCAGTTAAATCAGCCTGATATTCACTAACACAACAAGAGGTGTAAGTTACACAAGCTGTTACAAGGGTGTAATTGGGTCCAGTATAAACTGGTGTAATTTACAAGCTGAGGGGGCTGGAAGACAAGGCTACTATGAAACAGATGTTAGTTGCATTGCTTAAAGAACTACTGAAAGGTGCTCAGATACTATGGAGTCGAGCACATTATAATAACCTTATAGACTAGAAAAAACACATATAAAATACATGTTATAAATGACCCCCTCTTAGAATCTCTTGAATGCATTTATAACCACTTGATAGATGGACTGATAGAGGGACAAAAGACTGTGTCTCATATGATGATGCTAGGTAGACAGGTAGGCAGATGGAAAAATAGAGGGATGGAAGACTAAGTCATTATAGACAGATTATATAGGTAGAAAGACAGATAGATGTCCCATATGATGACAGATAAATAGATTTTGGTCCAAGGAAGATTTTGACCCCAGAATCAGACTAATTTTATAATAATCCTAAAATCAAATAGTCGAGTGTGATTTTAAAAAAACAATTTTCACACAATAAAATTCCCGGAGAAAATGACCTTTAAATATTGTCCCACAGATCAGTGAAAATGGTCCCCCCTCTGGCCCTGGGTGTCGTACTCACCCCACAAAAAGCACTTGGGTCTGTTCCTCATGGTGTTGCTGGGATGTGTTAATATGTCATCAGTTCCAAAGCATGAAGGAACTTCAAACTGCTGGCACTGACTTATATAGGGTAGAAATTGCTTGTTTACTTCCGCAAATACTGGGGCCTTCTTGTAGAAACATTCATTATATGGACTCTGCCTGCTAATCGCTCTGTACAGCAGCTAGCCCTCTATCTATCTCATTGTACAGTCGATCAGTGGGTCTCAACCAGGCATACGCGTATCCCAGGGGGTATGCAGAGGTCTTCTAGGGGGGCACATCAACTCATCTAGATATTTGCCTAGTTTTACAACAGGCTACATAAAAAGCACTAGTGAAGTCAGTACAAACTAACATTTCATAGAGACAATGACTTGTTTATACTGCCCGATATAAGATACACTGAAATGTAAGCACAATATTTATATTCCAGTGGATTTATTTTATAATTATATGGTAAAAATGAGAAAGTCAGCCATTTCTCAGAACTAGTGTGCTGTGACCCTTTTGTATTTTGATGTCTGGTTTTATAAGCAAGTAGTTGTTAAGTGAGGTGAAACTTAGGGGTATGCAAGACAAATCAGCCTCCTAAAAGGGGTTCAGTAGTGTGGAAAGGTTGTAGGGGGGGAGGGATAGCTCTGTGGTTTGAGCCTTGGCCTGCTAAACCCAGCATTGTGTGTTCAATCCTTGAGGGGGTTATTTAGGGATCTGGGGCAAAAATTGGGGATTGGTCCCATTTTGAGCAGGGGGTGGGACTAGATGACCTCCTGAGGTCCCTTCCAACCCTGATATTCAATGGTAGTAGAGTTTCTTCTCTCATGTCCACCAATAGGCTCCAGCTTTTTAAGAATTTCAAAAACTCACGGTTGTTCAGTGAACAAGTTTAAAGGAAATCTTTGACTGTCCGAAAGCCGAAGGAAACTAAAAATTGCAGCACGAAAGGAAATGAACAATTTGCTTTAATTTCAAATGTATTCACTGGGGGAAAAAAATCATTGCAACTGAACTGTTTTCACAAGCTATTTTGATTTCGATGGAATGTACTTTTCCACGGAAAAGCATTTTGGTGGAATCAGGTCTAATAATATGCATTTGTGTCCATAAAAACTATTGTAATGCACAGGCTCAAAAGGGCAGGGTCAAGTTTACGTTAGCAGCCTTAACTTTGGCTTTCCAGAGTTGTAAGCACTTCACTTTGCAAGCTGTAGCTTCTTGGTACTGCTTTGGAGTCTGTACAGAGGCCCTAACTGGGCATCTTAGTATGCCTTTGGCATGGGGAAATCCATAGGTGGTGTATAGCTGGTGTCATGCCCTCCCTGCCTGGCCTCCCCTCCCTCTGGCATAGGTGTATCAGAGGTGTGTCTGGAGGCAGAGATGTGGCCAGAGCATGGCTGGATTCTGGTGGCCCCCCAGACACTTTAAGAACCCCTGTGAGCCTATTAACGTGGGTGTAAGTTAGAGCAGGTCTGAGGCTGCTCTAACTTACCCTGGGGTTTAGAGCTGTCCCCAGGAATTCCAGGGATCAGGGGAGTGCCAAGATACCATACTGCCTCCCCAGTTTGGGTCCTGCACTGAGTGCACTTCATTCAGCCCTGAGCATGAAAGTCACTGAGTCTGAGGGCATAGGCGCCGGCTCTGTGAGTGCTCCAGGGCTGAGCACCCACCGGCAGCCCCCTTATCAACCCCTCCATTCCCCAGGGCCTCCTACCCATCGGTGGGCCCCACCAATCAGCACCTCCCCCTCCCTCCCCGTGCCTCCTGACCGCCACAATCAGCAGTTTCACTGTGTGCGGGAGGCTCTGGGGCGAAGGGGGAGGAGCAAGGATGCAGTACGCTCAGGGGAAGGGGCAGAATGGGGTGGGAAGAGGCGGGAAAAAGACGGGATGGGGGCGGGGTGGGGACTTGGGTGGAGTGGGGGGGGGGGCCTGGGGCAGAGCCGGGGGTCAAGCACTCCCCGGCATATTGGAAAGTCAGCACCCGTATGTCTACACTGCACATGAATCCCAGGCTCTGACTCAGGTTTGAGCCCAAGCCCCCTTCGGTCCACATGCAAATTAGTCTGACTTGGGTCAGTAAGCTCTTAGGACACTGCTAGAGGGGTGGGTCAGAGCCTGAGTGCTACTGTGACTTGTATCCAAGCCCCGTCATTTTGCAGTGTGGACACAGGACAAGCCACGGACCCAAGTCTGCATGGTGCAGTAGGGATGTGGTACCCCGGCTCTGAAACCTGAGCCCAGTAATTGCAAGCCTAGTGTGGACACTCAACCATGGGCTTGAAAACACTGAATCCACAAGCCTGGGTCCCACAGATCCAGGTTTACAATGCGGTGTAGACAAACCCTGACACCATTAATATTGGTTTGGTGGAAGTGCCCAGAAAATGTGTGCGGGGAGAAAGTCTTAAAAGGTAGATGCCTTCAGCTCGTCGCATGCTTCCTCCGCAGATGGTGTCAGCACATTTCAGACCACAAACAAATGTGTTTTATGTGAAAAAGGAAAAGAAATTAGGGGAATTCCTGGTTTGGTTTATTTGGTCATGAGGTGGTCACCTGGGCAGCCAGGACCTCGGCTTTCTCTCCGGACACACAGTTCTGCCTTTAAGTGACAAGCCCAGACTTGTTGCTCCCTCATTTGTCAAGGAATCAACTCCATGAATTAATCAAATGCAGTGCTGGGCTTGTTCTAGGGGCCCCGTTCATTCTCGGAGACCAGCAGACTTCCTGTGCGATAAAGAGGAAGAGACCTTAGGCTGAAAACTAGCAACAAGCCTCCAACTATTAATAACCCAGATATTTCTAGCCCTGGAACAGGAAAGCTCAGAAACAGAGAACGACAGCATAGCTCCAGAGTGCATGATGGATAGGCTTGGCTGGATTTGATTTTGCTATACATGATCTATAAATGTTGGCAGATATGATCAATATTTATTTTTAAGCCTTTGAAAGATTTTTACTGATTTCAACTTTCACAGTTGCACGCAATTATGGGGGGTCAGACAACATCGACTGACATTAAATAGTTATTGAGATTCAACCTTTGTAACCATTAAGACACAAACTGTCAACATCACACGTCGAATATACAAAGTAAATATCCTGAAATCAAACTCTAATAAATTCTCGAGCAGCATTTTTTAAAACTTTGCCAGCCTCTAAATTTAGATTATTATTGGTGGGATTTTTTTTTTTTTGGTCAGATTGTATGTGTATGGTGAAATAGATGTTTACTGACATTTACTGATAAAAATCTAGCCTTTCTAACCCTTATGTATGGGTAATACGCTATGGGCTGCTATGGGTTGGTGAGAAATATCAGGGATTAGCCCTATGCAGCTTTATGAGACACTTTCTCCCCATCCTTTGTTCTCTTCATTCTCCTTTTCTCTCTCTATCTACAACATCCCTTGATCCCAGCATGCTGTCTACCAATCAGCAAAGTTCTGATACAGTTCTCATCAGCATAGTATCTGGGAACTCTTTCGCTAATGGACCCCTTTCGTGGACCAGCAAAATAATTTTTCTCTAAAATGGTAAACTTTCTCTAAAATGGTAAACAATAATTTACTGTGACCCTTGCCACTTGTGGATCCCAGCATTGTTGACTCTCATGCTTTTATAGTCTGATATTTGGTGTTTGCCTTAAAATCCACCTCCAGGAGTCGTATGATTATGTAAAAAGAACAGGAGGACTTGTGGCACCTTAGAGACTCACAAATTTATTTGAGCATCAGCTTTCGTGAGCTACAGCTCACTTCATCGGATGCATTCAGTGGAAAATACAGTGGGGAGATTATGTGAGACCCACAGCTTTCATTTAATAAGAAAAAGTAAGTTTCTAGCTCTCATGGTTGTGTAGAAAAGCTTGAAACGTGACCCAAGTGTGACCTAAAGGCTCTGAAACTAGTAGGCAAATTTATTAATTTAAAATGAAAGAAATCTCATGATGTTTAAGTCAATCTCGTGATCTTTTCAGGCCAGCGTCATGATTTTTGAACACCTGGGGCTGACAGTACCGGGAACTCCCAAGATCTGAAAGTTAAGAGAATGCAGCCCTTGGCTTCTTCTGAAAGGGGGCAATCCCCTCCCATCACCTCCGCATACACACACAAATGGAGGAAGCTCCACAAACTGAAACTCTAATGGGGCCCTAAAAGGGATCTTGCCTGGTGCTCAAAAGAGGAAACCCCGGGGGAACTCCTCCCACAAGCTGAGCTGAAGCCACTGGAAAAAAAGGTGAAAAAGCCTTCGCTCATCTGTGAGAAAGGAACTTTTCTATCACCCTTGCTCAGTGGGGAAAGGTGGCCCTGTGGTCAAGGCAACATCTTAGGATGATGGAGATCTGGGGTTTACTCCAAGCTTTGGTACAGATCGAATGCATGTCATCAGCCAAGTCACGCCATCGCTCTCTGCCTCAGTTTCCTCATCTGTAAAATAAGCATGACCTTTCCCATCCTCACAGGAAGGGGCTGTGTGGCTCAATATTTTTGGGCTTGGATTAAATTCAGATGGAAGGAGTTAGAGAAATTGAAAGTATTTCCATTTTGTTTCCCAGCTTCCCAAGGAGCATGGAAATCCAGGGCCCATTAGGTCCAAGATCTCACTTCCGAGGGTCAAATCTGGCCTATTGAAGCATTTCCTCATTTTTGGCCCTCTCTGAGTCAGTGTATTTTGCTTGAGGGGAAGAAATTTAAGGAATTCTCCATAACCATCCCCTTTATTACCCTCTTGATATGACTAATTTGGACAGATTATTTTAAACGCTAATTGCAATACCTGAGGGAGCATCTGGATCCAAAAAGGTCATAGCAAATGGCTTTCACCGTGATACTTCCTCTTCTTTAGGATGGATCGAAACTGAGCCCAGGCACTTCCCTGCGGGGGCCAGCTAGGGCTCCGATCCTACCAACGGGGAACTTTGCGTATTGAAGCCTGCCATCATGACTCCGATTGCAGGATCCAGACAGAGAGAGGGGTTCAAGCAGCAAAGGCATCTGCATGGGCCTGACCAGATGTAAAGCTAGAGCCACCCCTGCAGAA